TTGGTCTCAAAAACCTTGGTCTCAAAAACCTAGTAGGGGATTTTGATAAACCCTTCCTTTGTGAATTCGGGCTAATAAGTTTGGAACTCACTTCTGGTCAAGAGTGGCAGAAGAATCCGTCGGTGTGCCCACGCCTTGAGCCATAATGCATGGCCGTACAGAGGATTTGTTTTATGTTGGGGACCGGGGTAAAATGTAATGAGTTATTGATAGTTTCTTCAATCAATCAATCAATCGATCAGGTTCATCCAGACGTTGGACAAAGCCCTCCTAATAACATTTCCATTCTCTTCTGTCTCTAGCTGTCATAGTCCAAGCGGCCGTTCCCATGTATGATGTTAGGACATCTCTCCATCTTCTCTTCTGCCTTCCTCTTCTTCTCTTTCCCATCCTTGGTGGCCATTCTGTTAAACGATTTGTCCATCTATTGTCCTGAAGTCTTGCTACATGCCCAGTCCATCTTCACTTTGATTCTCTGACTTTCTCCATGATGTCTTTAACCTTTGTTTTCTGTCGTATGACTTTATGATTGATTTTGTCTCGCAGAGATAAATGCGACATCTTTCTCTCCATAGCTCGTTGAGTAGTCACAAGCTTCTGTTCTAGATCCTTTGTCAATGACCATGTTTCTGATCCATATGTCATAGTTGTTAGAATGCATTGGTTGAACATTCTTTTTCTTAGTGACATGGGTATAATTTCTTGTATTTTTTTAATATTTTTATTTGTGGGAACTGCCCCCTACCCTAGCCCCCGCTGCGTACTGTCATGGTTCAGTAGCAAAGCAATGGCCTTGTAATTGTGAGGCCCAATGATCAAAACTGTATCGATGTGCTTTATTAGTGCCCTTTTATGGGGCATTAATCCTCATTACTGTCATTTATGACTTAAGGACGTAGGTCTCCTAGTTGATAAGCATATTAGCACACACTTGCTTTACCAGTCACGCAAAACAAACACTGGCAAATTATTATTCAATAAAATCTGAGAATGTATACTATTATCTTGATCTAATAGGAATAAATCATTGTCAAAATAATTCCATAAATTGGGGTAAAAAAAAAAAATCCAACTTTATGAGCGACAGTGTATATAATTGCATTGCATTCAACAAAAGGTTGTATTAGGAAGTACTTCTATCCTTACGGATAGGGTGCAGTGGGAGAGCCTTTGCCTGGAGTCTTGGGGCGGAGCCCTAGGAAGTTCTTGATTTTTTTAGAAATTTAGGAAATTCAAAATATGGGTAAGATTGTGACAAGTGGCTGGATGCCCACATTTCCTGAAACATCACAAAGTAGAAAGGACATCAATGTGCATTTCTTATATAGTTTGAAGAGTCTTATTATGAGACTACCAGCGTCTTAATATATGCGTACCAGCATATCTTGGTGCCAGGTAAAAATGTCAGAGGAAAAAATGTCAGAGGAAAAAATGTCAGAGGAAAAAATGTCAGAGGTAAAAATGTCAGAGGTAAAAATGTCAGAGGTAAAAATGTCAGAGGTAAAAAATGTCAGAGGTAAAAATGTCAGAGGAAAAAATGTCAGAGGTAAAAATGTCAGAGGAAAAAATGTCAGAGGAAAAAATGTCAGAGGTAAAAATGTCAGAGGTAAAAATGTCAGAGGTAAAAATGTCAGAGGAAAAAATGTCAGAGGTAAAAATGTCAGAGGTACAAGCAAAACAAATGAGTGCCGTCATAATATCTCAGCACTTTATCACTCAGAATGTCAAGACGTACAGCTACTGCATGGGCTAGTCTATTATATTCCTTTCTAAATGGATGTGTTGTATATCGTACATGTCCTGAAGATAATATAATGTGGAAAATAGATTTTGACATTTTTTTTTGGGGGGAAGCAATCAGAGGTTAATCATCTAGCATAAACATGTAAGTATTGGTGTGTAGTGCAAGGTTTTGGAGTCATCAAAATGATAACAAATTTGGCCCAGTCTTGGTAAAGTAACAAGCACTGTAAACAGAAAGATATTGATATGGGACTACACAAACATATGGCATACAAATCGGGCAGGCATACAAAGATGTTACTTGTTATATCTGGGATATGAAGTCATTTGAAATAGATTTTCAGGGAATAACTTTTTTCTTTGATGTTCTATTACACTTGCATTGAACGCTCACAAATAATTTTTTTTTTACCTTTCCCCAGAACTCAACCTTCTCTTTAATTGATGTAACATGGGCGGCTTTCTGCTTTGTATCGGAGTAACAAAGCTGCTTATTGATTTTCTCCCAGACTATTTTATACCGCAATAGTAATCGACAATATTTTATTGCAACGCGCGCACTTCGGGAATGTGATGGTGCGGTTAGCATTGATAACATGGCTTTCTGCTTGTTTCAGAGTATCAAAATACCAAGCCCTCAAGAAAGTGGAATTGTCGGAAATATGCATTTATTGGAAATTACATATAATAGTAGACATTGCCACGCAGTTAAAATGTCCAACAATCTTCAAATACGAAGGAGAAGTAGGAGGGGGAAGGTTCATAGATATCTGATCCTATTTTGGGGGCTGTACTGACTTTTCTTTTTATTTAATGATTACACCATGGAGCGACAACTCAGCCTATAAAACATGGCCAAACTTATCGATTTTAGAAATCTTTTTCCCCAGAAGTTTGCTCAGTGTACCAGTACCATTTGCTTATACAAAAACATAATATACTGGTATATAAATATTGAATAAGGCAGACTAATGGGACGTGGATGGTGTACTCCGAGTTTCAAGCCTTGCAAGCGGTCATCAGACAACTGATAGCATTCTTCAAAGTACATGATTCCTCTACAACCAGGGCTCAAATTAATTTTTTGGGGCTCAAATTAATTTTATGTCCACGGGGGCTCTTCCCCCCAAAAAAGAGCCCCCGTGAGCCTTCTCACGGGGGCTCTTTTAGTACTGACGGGGGCTCTCTGTTATACAAATATCCATTGAATTGGTACCTATGATACTCCTCAATTATTTGCTATTTCATCATTATCATTTCAATCAGCATTTTCCCTCTTACAAATTTACAAGCTACATAGCTGTTACTGGCCTGTGTATATAATATATACGCATACAACACTGATCTTTATGATGTCTTTAACGTGACATATCTTCTTCTCCCCTTGCAAACGAGAAAGAAAACAAGGTCATTAAAAGGGATTAAGCGACAAATAATGATTGTGATTCAAATTGATGCGAATATTTGGTTGAATAAGCACTGCTATTCACCCGAATCTTCTTTGTAAAAACAACTTTTACAATTCTCAGCCATGCTTACTGAGTTGAGACGTTCCATTCAATGTAAAATACTCATTACAGAATACACTTCTCCTAATCTGAAAGTGATCTTACAACACAGTGGCAGATTTGCATGGCTGAGATTTGTAAAAGTCGTTTTTACAAAGAAGATTCTGGTGAAAAGCATTGCTTATTCAAAAAAATCCTTGCATCAATTTGAATCACAATGATTATTTGTCGCATGATCCTTTTATTAAATAACCTTGTTTTCTTTTTTTTTTAATGATTACACCATGGAGCGACAACTCAGCCTATAAAACATGGCCAAACTTATCGATTTTAGAAATCTTTTTCCCTAGAAGTTTGCTTAGTGTACCAGTACCATTTGCTTATACAAAAACATAATATACCGGTATATAAATATTTAATAAGGCAGACTAATGGGACATGGATGGTGTACTCCGAGTTTCACGCCTTGCAAGCGGTCATCAGACAACTGATAGCATTCTTCAAAGTACATGATTCCTCTACAAGTTACAACCTTGGTATACGCTCAAAATAAGACTTAACTAATACAATACAATAAGACAGCGGTGAAATAACGACTGCAGAATATCCCTCGCTGTTCTTTTTCGATAAGCCTGATATATAGCCCGGGTGTAAACATAACAATCTTGTCACATGCTTTTGTTTTTATTTTAAACTCTGACATTTTTACCTCTGACATTTTTTCCTCGACATTTTTACCTCTGACATTTTAAACTCTGACATTTTTACCTCTGACATTTTTACCTCTGACATTTTTACCTCTGACATTTTTTCCTCTGACATTTTTACCTCTGACATTTTAAACTCTGACATTTTTACCTCTGACATTTTTACCTCTGACATTTTTACCTCTGACATTTTTTCCTCTGACATTTTTTCCTCTGACATTTTTACCTCTGACATTTTTACCTCTGACATTTTTACCTCTGACATTTTTACCTCTGACATTTTTACCTCTGACATTTTTTCCTCTGACATTTTTTCCTCTGACATTTTTACCTCTGACATTTTTACCTCTGACATTTTTACCTCTGACATTTTTACCTCTGACATTTTTACCTCTGACATTTTTTCCACTGACATTTTTACACCGAGCCCATATCTTGGGGGCTTGTGTTTACTTTAAGATTATACTACGAGTCGCAGAGACGGGAAGTTCTTTTTTCTCTCCACCTATGTTCTGGGAGAAGCACACTCCAGTCATTCTGAATGTCGAAGTGATGCAGTAAGGTCCGAATTACATAACATTGCAGCAGAAAGTTTTTAGTCATTTTGTGGAACAAACTACAGGCCCAATTCGGTAAGAATACGATATCTATTTCTATATATGTTATTTAATATATATTAATATGCTAGGATGTATCTTAATATAATCTCAGTCGAGTTTGGTAGAATTTTATAGGAGTTTCGTAAAGATGATGTTAGATGTTGTACCTATAGCTTTTAGGAGTAGACAAAGAGATGAGTGTGTATAATGTATAGTGTAGAAAGCCCAGTTCTTTGTCGTTATCAGCAGAAGTTACAGTACATTTTATTGTTTCAAAGTAGCAAATATTCTGCAACGATGTAGGTGATTACTGATTAATTATATAGTTCATGTCGAATTTAGAGCAAAACTAAGTGTTTAGGAAAGATACAATTTTCTTTGTTAGTTATTTAGCATAGGATTAAGCGACGGACCGCGTCTGAATGCGGCCCTGTTCGCACTCAAAAACGTTTGCTTGTGTATACCGTTTAATAGTTTACTGCATAGTTTCAATGCAGGGTGTGTTCACATAGAGATTTAATCCAGTTTAACTTTAATCTTGTGTCATATAATAGTGTGTAGTAATCAATATCTTTAATTTAGCTATAGAGTTTTTACATGCTTACATGCTGAAACATGTGTTCAATATTTGTTTGTTTGTTTATTATCATTACAGATTGTTATCTGAAGGTTTTACCGAAGATATGAAAGTGAAGTTACGAGTTGCTGAAAAAAACAGAAGTTTGTTTGACTTTAGCAAATTGTTTCCAGTGTTAATTTTCATCGGTGTGCCTTGTGAATGACAACAGTTGGATTTTATTGTTAGACGAAACTACTTCATATAAAATAAAGATTTATGAAGGCAGCCAGAGAAGAAGTCGAACAGCACTCCAAATTATTTGATCTTTCTGCGCCCTACTAAATGTCCAATCACTTTTGTCAAGTTAATATACCAACAAATATATCAGCAAATAGGCAGCCAAAACGTTATCGACAAAAGTATTATCCGATTGAATATAATGAATTGGTTCCTATTTGCCATGCATGCCTTCCCTCAAAACGTGTAGCTCCTGTTCAAACTATTGCTCAACCAAAGAGATACTACAAACCCCAAACTCTATCGGCACAAACACTTGTCAGTCGTTGTGCGCAACAGTGTGTGCAATGTGAGACTACGAAATGTTATGTAGGTCCATGCTAGTCTGCAGGCACAAACCCTGGTCAGTCGTAAAAGTGAGTCTGTACTATAAGACTACCATAGGCCATGTACTGTAGCTGCTCCTAATTAGGTAGCTGGGCTAGGCTTATCTCAAGGCACAATAATTTTGTTGTTAAAGTGTCAAATTAGGGTCTGTGCTTGCAGACTAGGTCCATGCAGAAACTGATAGATCGAGAAGCTTTAGGAAGTGTGGTAACGTCTCGGATTACAGTCTGTCCTTGTTGTTTACTAGCTCCGCATATCATGCCCACGAAAAGACAATGACAATTTATCTACTCGCCTGTAGAACCAAAGATATCCTCCTTGGTAGAACATAAACAGATGACAACTAGAGGCCAGACATCATCAATTTCTTCCACGAGTGACGACGATGGCGACGTCGTGGTTGCAGCAACACTGGGGCTGGGTGGTCACCGGTGCGACCTGCATCGCCTTCTTCTTCAGCTATGGTTTCATTCTCTCTTTCAGTATCCTCTTCGTCACGTTCCAACGAGAGTTCAGAAGCAGCGCAACTGCGACGGGTAAGCATAATGTTGCAATATGAGATTGGTTTAATTATATCGCATATTAAAGAGCGTCAATACTACTGGGCCAGAACGGATTAGACCACACAGCGAGGTCACTGACAAACTCAGCTCTCAACTAACATAAGAAAAAGAGGGTCATGGGGGACCAACAGGCACCGACTGGGGAAGTTTTCAATATAGAGGGAGCAAGTAGCTACAAGTAGGACAGTGGGGCTTTAATAGACAGAGTTTATTTTATTCGCTAAAATCCGGACGCGTCTTAATAAAAAAAGTTTGCGTTTGATCCCGATTGATCGCTACCTCTCATCAAACTCATACTGTCCATTCTAATATAATTTAAAATGTATTTGGCATAGCATAGACATCAAAATCACATCTCTAAGATGAATATTTCATGATGGTTATTTAAATGGTATTGACGGTCATCTTGGGCGCCAATTTGAAAACAAGCACTTTCCAGGGGTCCTATTTTCTTAGATGTTTAGTATGTCATTCCTGATGTCAAACACGTACTACAGTTAACCGTTAAAAAACATTTTGTTGCAATGTTTGGGCTCAAACTGTGATATGGCTAGAGCGTGCATGTCTGCACAGCGCCCTTGTCTGCACATACCCGCATATATCTATAACTGCATAATTCTAATAAATTGAAACACTCAGTGCATCTTTATCATAGCGTCATAATTCGTGCGAATCAACACGAGTAAAATTTATTGAGAATTATATCTAGTTTAAGTTTGTTATTCTCAAGCCTCGAAATTGAATTTCAAACTGCGGGTAAAAATTGAATGCGTAGACGTGGGAATCTCCGCTTTTGTACTAGTCAAAATGACACTATTCTTTTGAAAATAACATTGATCTTGTTTGAATTATTTTCATTTTCTAGTCTAATTCTAGTTGGGTAGACACAGGGCTCCCTATCAGAAGAGGGGAGAGAATCTATATACAAGTGTTTACAGCAAAGCTGAGACCCTAAGTACTGAGTAGGGGTTCCCAATACAAGATGGAGTTCCAAGTTAACTTTATATCCCCAATTCCAAACGAGGAAATGGCTTTGTGATCATTCCTTGAAACAAAAATGGTCTTATATTCCCGATAAGATATAGTGTTCTAAACAATGCCGATCTACTTCAAAGCACCGCTCTATTTCATATGTTTGTTTGCTTTATTGCTTTATCGCTTATCGTGCAGCAGTTTATTCGAGTGCATGTTCTTAAATGTGATCTCAATTCCCGATAAGATATAGTTTTCTAAACCATGACGATCTAATTCAAAGCACCGCTCTACTTCATCTGTTCGTTTGCTTTATTGCTTTACTGCTTTATCGCTTATCATTCAGCAGTTTATTCGAGTGCATGTTCTTAAAGGTAAAGACCAGTATAAGCCAGTTCACGGTTGCAGTCTGAGCATGAGCAGATAAAGGTCATTGCAGAACAAATTGTGAAATACACGGAGACGAAATACTGGAAACGTGCTCATGAAAGTTATGTAATCATTATTCATTTATGCACTCCATGATATACAGGTGGAAGTATTCTTTGAAAAGGGGAAACAAAGGCTATTTATGTAGCACCTCCATCGCTGTAGGAGTGATTATTTCAAAATGTACAAAGTGGGACCTCTTCATGTTTTTAAGATCTGTGGATATTCGGGGTCATTGCAGTAATGTGCTAACCGTGAACTGGTCTATTGGAAACGCCCCAATTTCAAAAAAATGAAATGCAAGCTCTTATTACCAATCATGTGAAAGAATATGTTTTGAATAATACATGATGATAAAAATGTTGACGGGAAACCGCCTACTAAATGATATATTTGGTAAATTAGTGTATCTCTCGCCTGTTGAGAGATACAGATGCACGTGTCGCGCACGTGTGTGTAGTCCCATATACATATTGTACAGTGATTCTAACTTTATGAAGACTTGGCCAAATTTCTTATCATTTTGATGATTCCAGAACCTTGCCGTACATTTATGCTAGATGATCAACCTTTTCTGATCGATTTCACAATGTTTCTTTCACAATGCAATCGCATGACCATAACTGGTCTTTAGCTTTAAATGTGATTGTATTCTAAAGTGTGCTGAAAGATTGGTCATAATTCTATCAAGAACAACGGTATTTTCACAATAAAAAGCGGTCGATGACAGGAAAACTCGCATCGGTGTCTCTTTCTCATCGAACCAAAATATTAAGGGGGTGGGGCTGGAAATTATATTTTAGCTGTTAATATGAAAGAACATTTGTGCGCGCGCGCGTGTGTGTGTGTGTGTGTGTGTGTGTTTGTGACTTAATTTGCTTCTGCAAACAGCATATGCAATGTGTCTCATTTGATACATTCAATTCATTCTCTTACTTTAATACTTTTACGCAAGTCGATTTTGCACTCTCGCAAACAATAGGGACTTTTAGATTGAGTGGACGAGAACACGACGAACGCCTGCTGATCATGCGTGTCAACGTACTCAACTGCCCATATTAGGGACTTTTAGATTCAGTGGACGAGAACACGACGAACGCCTACTGATCATGCGTGTCAACGTCCTTAACTGCCCATGTTGGCTACAATTAGAAATCTTTTAGATTGCACTCAACGATATACATGCATGCAGGAAGTAACACTATAAACATCACGGACAAAGAAAGAAGACAAAATATACAGTTCCTCATTCTACCCTCAACAAAAGAACATCACTTTACTGCTATTATGTAAAAATGTGTAGAACAGGTGAATATGCATGTGACACCTGTTCTACACAGTTTTACATAATAGCAGGGAAGGGATGTTCCTTTGTCTACCTGAGGAACTGTATATTTTATGCGCACGCGGCATACTTGTACCTTGAGCATGTAAAGGCGCTATATAAATATCAATATGTATGGACTAGATTTAGGAAAATCAAGGTTGACGCATTCTCGATCGCCGACTGAGCGACGTAACGCATACGCAGTGCCTTAAAACGACGTCACACGTTGCAGTCAAAGCTGTTGACGTGCAAATCTTAAGTCCCTAATGACTACAATTATAAATCTTTTGGATTGCACTCGGCGATATACATGCATGCAGGAAGTAACACTATGAACATGACGGACAAAGAAAGAGGACAAAATATACAATTCCTCATTCTACCCTCAACAATAGGCCATTTTCGTAATGTAACCATATGTACTGCATACAGGCGCGGATCCAGGATTTCTTAGGGGGGGGGGGCCCAAATTTGAAATTATGCGAGCCAAATATTGGTACGTAATGGTGACCAACAGTGACGTGATGCGGGGTCGGTGCAGGGAGGGGCGAATTTCCCCCTCCCTCCTCCGCGAAACGCGGAAGCTTTGACGTTTCATTTAATTATTAGAAAAAGAAGACGGTTCGTTGTACCGTTCTCGAAAATAAATCTCGTCTGAATTTAGTTTTTGCCCTCTCGCGCGAAGCGCGGAAAATTTTAGGATTTATTAAATTATTAGAGAAAGAAAACGATTCGTTGTAGAGTTCTCAACTCTAAATTCTCGTCTGAATTCATGTTCCCCCCCTATCGCGCGAAGCGCGGAAGCTTTTAAGTTTCCTTAAATCATTAGAGAAACAAAACGATTCGTTGTACCGTTTTCGAAAATAATCCTCGTCTGAATTTAGATTCTTCCCCCCCCCCCTCCCGCGCGAAGCGCGGAAGCTTTTACGTTTCATTAAATCATTAGAGAAACAAAACGATTCGTTGTACAGTTCTCGAAAATAATTCTCGTCTGAATTTAGTTTTTCCCCTCTCGCGCGACGCGCGGAAAATTTTAGGATTTATTAAATTATTAGAGAAAGAAAACGATTCGTTGTACAGTTTTCGAAAATAATTCTCGTCTGAATTTAGTTTTTCCCCTCTCGCGCGACGCGCGGAAAATTTTAGGATTTATTAAATTATTAGAGAAAGAAGACGATTCGTTGTAGAGTTCTCGACTCTAAATTCTCGTCTGAATTCAGGTTCCCCCCCTTTTAAGTTTCCTTAAATCATTAGAGAAAAAAAAACGATTCGTTGTACCGTTTTCGAAAATAATCCTCGTCTGAATTTAGATTCTCCCCCCCCCCCCTCCCGCGCGAAGCGCGGAAGCTTTTACGATTCATTAAATCATTAGAGAAAGAAGACGATTCGTTGTACCGTTCTCGACTCTTAATCCTTGTCTAGATTCAGTTCCCCCCTCCCTCTCCCCCTCCTGCGCGAAGCGCGGAAGCTTTGACGTTTCATTAAAATATATGAAAGAAGGCAATTCGTTGTACCGTTCTCGAATCTTAATCCTCGTCTGAATTCAGTTCCCTCCCCCCCCCCCCCCCCCCCCCCCCTCCGCGCGAAGCGCGGAAGCTTTTACGTTTCATTAAATTATTAGAGAAAGAAGACGATTCGCTGTACAGTTCTCGACTCTTAATCCTCGTCTGAATTCAGGTCCCCCCCCCCCCCCCTCTTGCGCGAAGCGCGGAAGCTTTTAAGTTTCATAAGATTATGAGAGAAAGAAGACGATTGGCTGAACAGTTCTCGACTCTTAATCCTCGTCTGAATTTCGATTCTCCCCCTCCCGCGCGAAGCGCGGAAGCTTTTATGTTTCATTAAATCATTAGAGAAACAAGACGATTCGTTGTACAGTTCTCGACTCTTAATCCTCGTCTGAATTTAGTTTACCCCCTCCCCCTCCTGCGCGATTCGCGGAAGCTTTGACGTTTCATTAAACTATTGAAGAAAGAAGGCGATTCGTTGAACCGTTCTCGACTCTTAATCCTCGTCTGAATTCAGGTCCCCTCCCCCCCCCCCCTCCCGCGCGAAGCGCTCAAGCTTTAAAGTTTCATAAGATTATGAGAGAAAAAAGACGATTTGCTGTTCAGTTCCCGACTCTTAATCCTCGTCTGAATTCAGGTTCCCCCCTCCCGCGCGAAGCGCGGAAGCTTTTAATTTTCATTAAATCATTAGAGAAAGAAGACGATTCGTTGTACCGCTCTCGAAAATAATCCTCGTCGGAATTAAGTTCCCCCCCCTCCATCCCGCGCGAAGCGCGGAAGCTTTTACGTTTTATTAAATCATAAAAGATTGGTATAACCGTTCTAGTTCCCCTCCCGCGCAAAGCGCGGAAGCTTCACGTTTCATAAGATTATGAGAGAAAAAAGACGATTCGCTGTACCGTTCTCGATTGTTAATCCTTGTCTGGGGCGGCGGCGAAGCCGGCCCCGGAAGCTCAGAGGTTTTAGGCGTTTAATTAAGGTCATATGAGCATATTTTTTTTTGTATACCTTATTATTTCGTGACACTGGCAGGTAACTATTTGGCGTTGGGTCCAGGGGGCGGAGCCCCCCAAAATCAGGGGCTTTAGGAATTAAATTACCGTCAGATGAGCATCTAAGGGCCCGCCGTAGGGCCCTTGGTGGGATCCAGGGGGCAGAGCCCACGGAAGCTTAGGGGTTTTAGGCATTTAATCACGGTCAGATGAGCATATTTTGATGCCTCATTATTTGTTAACACTGGCAGTTAACTATTCTTTCTTTCTTGCTCTCATTCTATTTTATTTCTCTTTAATATACTTTTTCAAACAAAGTGTGGGGGGGGGAGAGCTCGAGGCTCCCGATCCCCACCGTACCTCGGGCCCTGACATGTAGGAATATCAAGAATCATATTTCTTGCCTGGCTGCAAATTTAGGAATTTGTCATTTTCCAACAAACACATACAAACGTATAATTTACTAAAAAGTGAGGAAAAATCTCGGAAATGATGTAATTTCAGCATTATTTGTAATCCACCGTTGTGGAATTAGAAATAAACCACATTTGAATTTGATTTCCACTAACCCCCCCCCCCCCCCCTCCCTATCAGTACGCCAGTATCTCCTCTTTTCCTTTCCCTTTCCTTCCTTTTCTCTTATTTGTTTTATGGGGGGGGGGGGGGTCAACAGCCTGGGAGGCAAAGCCCTTTCGACCCCCCGATCTCCTTCTTCCCCCTTTTCTTTTCTTCTTCCTCTTCTTTCTTTCCCTTTCTCTCCTCTTTCCTTTCGCTTCTTTTCCTTTTTTCTCTTTTTTTTTTTTTTTTTTTTTGCGGGGGGGGGGGGCCAAGGCCCGCTCGGCCCCCCCCCCCCTGGATCCGCGCCTGACTGCATAAGTGTTTGTGAAGTGCCTTGATTCAAATTATTTCGTTCACCTGTTAGGAATAATAGTATTTTAATAGTCAGAATTAAACTGCATAATATTAAGTGTTGCTAGGTAGGTCAAACTATAATGTTTGTCCAACCTGGCAAACCTTATGTATGCAGTTCGGATTCTGTCTATTGAAATACTATTATTCTTATCAGGTGAATGAAATAATTTGTATTGGGTCAATTCACAAAGACTTAAATTTGGTCACATTACGAAAATGGCCTATTGCTGTGGTAGGACATCCCTTCACTCCTATTATGTAAAAATGTGTAGAACAGGTGAATATGCATGTGACACCTGTTTTACACATTTTTTACATAAAAACAGGGAATGGATGGTCCTTTGTCTACCTAAGGAACTGTATATTTTATGCGCACGCGGCATATACTAGTACCGTACTAGATTTAGGAAAATCAAGGTTGACGCATTCTCGATCGCCGACTGAGACGACGTGACGCATGCGCAGTGCCTTAAAATGACGTCACACGTTGCAGTCAAAGCTGTCGACTTGCAAATCTAAAAGTCCCTATTGCCTCCTGTTCCAAGCGTGAACACATACCACACAAAAGTGATACCAAACGATTCGGGATATAACACTTTTTAAAAACATGTATAATAACCTTTCGTTCATACCTGACTTTTAAAATAAAGGACAGTTTTCTGAGTGTAAACTTTTTTCTGCACTCATGCAAAGTTGATCTCTTTCCGGGAATCACGAGGTGCGAATCTTGATTCATTTAAATTAGATCACAGAATTGTACAAATGTAGGAACTAGTCATACTCTTTATGAAGCTGTCGATAAACTGTTGGGAAACGTGTGTAATGCGTAATTGCGTATTGTAGATATTAGATAAACATATGCCAAGTATTAAGACTAAAGGGGTGAAGCAAAAACACTCACCAGAAATTCTTGAGGTGTAAAAGATATTGGCTCAACGATCACTCGTTACGTATTTTATCTTGTCTTGTTCCAGAATTCAAGCAACAAATGCACTCATGCGTGTCGATCTGTAACTGATACCTATTCATCAGGGGGGATGATCTATTCATTCATCTCCCCTGATGAATAGGTATTACGTAAGGATCGACACCCATGAATGCACTCATGCAAAGTTGATCTCTTTCCGGGAATCACGTTGTGCTAAATTTGATTCATTTAAATTAGATCACAGAATTGTACAAATGTAGGAACTAGTCATACTCTTTATGAAGCTGTCGATAGACTAAAAGGGTGAAGCAAAAACACTCACCATGGCTTAATGATTTTATTTTTGAATGGATAAAACAACCTGATAAATGACGAAGAATGTAACTAAGAATGAAGAAGATTGGAAAAGTTATTGAAAGATGAGGAATAAAGTTACATATGAAATTTTTAAAAAGGTTGATAGTGCATTGGTAAAATACTAAACTACAATTACTATTGTATGTGAATTAATATGTTTTGTTTTGCTTTTGAACCCCATGGAAGAACAGGACCATTTTGAAAATGTAACTGAAATGGGCTATCCAGTATCCAACCGTTTGTACATACTTGACACATTTACTTACTTTCTTATCATTTGAGATGTGCTTTATATGTATGTTTTTAAAACTTGTAAGTATATATGGATTTCGAAAATAAGCACAAACATAAAACTGTCCAATTTCTGTCCAATTCCCCCCCCCCCCCAAAGACTCTACTTGTATTTGTCTTTAAATCCCCACTGTACTACTTGTAGCTAATTGCTCCCTCTATATAGAAAACAATGCCTAATCGGTGACCAGTGGTCCCCCATGATCCTCTTTTTCTTATGTTAATTGAAAGCTGAGTTGATGAGATATAGACACCTGTCAGCGACCTCCCTTGGTGGTCTAATCCCTCCTAGCCAAACTAGTACAGACGGCCTTTAAGATTAGGAACCTCTGTCGTACAATAATGTCGTGGGTGGGGGTTGGACCTCGCTAAGGACCGGTAGTATCAATGATGAGACAGGACAGCAGATATAAGGGCATTGAAGTTTATTCTGTGTCGTAAACAAAAAACCCTGTAAAGATACAGAAAAAGCCAGTGACAAATCACTTGTACCACATTACAGATTCAAATAGTTCAATGTCATCTCTCACATACATATTCAATATGCATGTATTAACCAAAACGGACTTCTAGTCCTCGAAGAATCATATATTGTTACTAACAATATATGTATGTCTCGTACTTTAGTTCGAGATTCCTCATATTCAAATAATGTTTATCTAAATATTCAAAGCATCTTAATCATCAAAACATCTTAATCATCAAAGCATCTCAGTCATCAAGCAGATATAAGACAATACAATTACACTTAACTCCATAAAGTGCATTATCTTATCAAACCCTCTGATAAAGAATCAATTCACTCCCTCGATAAATCATCCTTTATAATATTATTTGAAAGCATTTACAAAATATGGTAAAGCATTAATCAGAAAGCTCAATAATATTACTATACTATACTGCATTATAAACATCAAAAGTATCACTGTTTGATTAAACATATCAAACCAATATCAAAAGTTGCCTACCTAAGGTCAAACAAATGTCAAGCAACAAGCTGCAACAACCAGACTGCAAACTCCACAGTCACTCACTACCCGTCACTGCTACGAGCAGAAATGCACTCATCACCTACATGAAGGCCTGGACCAGCTGTAGTCCATATCTCCCAGCTGTAAATGAAAAGTCAATACACCCGTAACCATAGAAACCTACATTGAAAATACACTAAGTATTAAATATATACAATGTAACATGTTATCTACGGAAAAACTTTATCAAGATTCAATATCTAAAAAAAAAAAATCTCATACCATAAGTCGGTATCTACGAAGCATGGGCGCCGCCATCTTTGTATACAAAATGCTGCCCTCTAAGTTCATAACTACAAAAACTAACTGAGTTGATAATTCTCTTCAACTACTAAAAACAAGCAAGTTTCTGCACTTGTTATTATTAAACATTAAATAATTAACAAAGCAAATACAACAGTGATTCCACTGTCTATTCTCAATCTCAACAAATATCATTTGCAATTTCACTGATAGCTTTGAACTTGTTACATCGAAAGACGTTTCAAAAACGTTTACATACAACATAAGAATTGTGGCAAAACTCATCCATGCACTCCAATTAACCGAATGCAAAATACTATACAAACTCTGTTCCGAATCCTAAGTAACTTCAAATAAGATTAAATTGCATTTACAAGTACAATTGCATTTACAAGTATAAATTCACTAGGATCTCGAAAACCAAAGTCTTGCCCGACCTAGAACACGTCCGTACACGTGGATGCTCAATTGGTGTCTGAGCAAACTACACCCAAGATAGAGCTACTCGCCCATGCCGCGTACGTACGTACGTTAACATACGGACTAATTCATGCATACAATAAAAAAAAAGGAATGTCACTGCCACTTGGCCTAATGTCATTACGCAATCTAGCGTACAACTGAAATAAACACCTGACTCAGCTATGCATGTCACATTATACTATGGAAAAGGAATTTTCCAAGTGAAAAAACATCAGATCTAACCTCGATCCTTAACACTTAATTGGAAGCAGAATATAAATTTGCCTTAAACTTGAACATCATAAAATAAAGACTTTCACAAATTTCCAACTTCCGACATTACCATAGGACAAGGAGGAAAGGGGGTTGTACAATTAATTAATAATGATTTCCTTTTCCTTGTCACAGCCTGGGTCGGATCTCTTCCATTCGGCCTTTCCGCCATCGTCGCACCGGTGGTCAACCTCCTCATCGAACGAATCGGCTACCGGGCGGTGGTCATCATCGGGATATTAATGATCTCGCTCGGGCTAATCTTGACTTCCTTCATGCAAAGCCTTGCTCCGATGTTCTTCACCTACAGTATCCTCTTTGGTTTCGGAACGGGATGCATACTGATGGGGTCTTTGAACCTTATCCTCAAGTACTTCCCACATAAGAACGCAACTGGCGGAGTCGTGCTGCCCATGGCATCTTCTAATCTAGGTGAGAAATTAGGGACTTTTAGATTTGCGCGGACTGATACGTGTGACGTCCATTCAAGGCAGTGCATTAAAAGGACGTCGATCGTAGCAATCCACGTTGTCGTTCGGCAAAAAGTCGCTATTGTCCGTGTGCCGAGAAGAGGTGCTTGAGACTATCGAATGTAACAAACCCGACAGAAAGCATATCATGAGTACAGCCCTAAATGTAACCCCTACCCCGATCCCTAGGTAAAAAGGATGTAGATCGACCCATATGACGAAGGGTCGGTAACAAGTGATTACTGTTTCACATTCATTGACTTTTTCTATTAATTTTCTTTAAAACTTGCAAATATAACTTTATTTTATTGTATTATATTTTGAATAATGCCAGGTTTCAGTTATTTAACTTGTTAAATTCAGTTTTAATCAGTTAGTTGTTTAGTAATAGTTTAATGGTAGCTTAGCCTAGTAGTAGCTTAACTTTTTTCTTCATCTTCGACCACTTTGAAGAAAAAAAATATCGTTAGATGATGAGGTGTGGCAATCTCTCAAGAATTAAGCTTATAGTGTCATACCTCTGTACGCACTGTATTATTTACAATTGCAAATGTATATAGTGATCGTAATCTAGTTTTTATTACCATGATGGTCATTATCATACTATGTAAACTTTCGAACCGTGCAGAAATAAATACTGTAGTCACGTAAGACAAATTGAAAAATAAAGTAAAAGCGTGTTAACGATCCTACAAGCCATTGCTAACTGATATGACGTGGGGCCACTGGAACATAGGATCAGTGGGGCGCAGGACAAATTTGATGTCGGACTGATGGAATGTTGGAACAAGTGGAGGGGACTACAGAGACGCCCTGAGCAGTATAAGAACTTCATTTTACCTGACTGTCCTCTTTTTCCAGTGAACCGAAATGTTGTCTTTAGCACCTCTTACCCATGGTCCTACCACTCATTGCCCTTATCGGACGTACGAAGGAGATCCTCTTGAGGCTCCCCAAGAAATATAAAAATATAATTGATTTCATTGTTTCTTTTTCCTGTTTCTCCAGGAATGTTGTCCATTGGACAATTCACGTTCTATTTTGAGAATAAATTCGGCTGGAGGAACACCTTGAGGGTCAGTGCCGGTATGATTATCGGAATCGCTCTTCCGGCGGTCGCTTGGGCCCATCGCGAGCCTACAAGATCAGCAACACCGGGGGAAAATAATGATATCGACGATGACAGTGATATGAAGCTCAAAGTTGGCGATATAGGGGACAACAGAACCGTCCAAGTTTCCATCGGTGGAATCAAAGACGACTCTGCTGTTATGGAAAAAGTAAAATCTGAGACTGAAGAATGTGATGAATCCAAATACGCTGATTATGCCGTTTCTACCCCGAACAGTAGAACATACACAGACAAATTTGAATCAGAAAAAGTCGAAGACGACGCGGATAACGGTGAACAAAGAGGCAAGATTTTACCATGCAACGACAACTATCAAAGACTTACTGAAACAATGACTAGTCAATTTAATAGAAACATTAGGCATAGTATAGACAAAGGGAAGATATCGACCACGACGACCAGTAACTTGAAAGCCCACTTTATTGACGAGAGCATTGATGAGCACGCTACTTCGAGTATGGCAAGGCGTATGTTGATTGCCTTGACTTTCCCCGACGTATGGTGCTTGGCCCTAGCGGTCTTCGGCTACGGTTTAACAAATTCCTTCTTCATCATACAAATGGTGAGGAATACCTTTATGCGTTAGTATGCTATTACCCTTAACAGTTCACATAAATCCGAATCATTTGCGATTCATTTAGAAATCTAAGTTAACGTGATATAGCATGGACCGATTACGTAGTAGTTCAATGGATGGAGGTACAAATTAGGTAGTAAGAATCGTCATATGACCGAGCCCTTAATTCTCAATGAGGTACAATAAGTATTTTGATTACACCATCATTATTTGTTGTAGTGAAGAAGTTCTTATCTCTCGTAAAATTGCGAAAGTGTGCACCATCATTATTCCCGCTGCACAGTGCATACGAGGAGCCTGTGGCCCGATTTCACAAAGCAAGGTTTGAGCTCAAACCTCCTTTTGTTTCGCCAAACCTCCTTTTGTTCTTTACAAACCAGGTTTGTAAAAAACGCGTAAAACGCGTCATATGTCGACGTACGAAAACCAAGGTTTGTCGACAAACCTCCTTTGTGAATTCGGGCCTGTGAGTTTCAGTCAAATTATATTATACTAGTCAATCTAGTCAAAACATGTGGTACTTTTAGCAGAATGGAAATGAGTGTAAAAAAGAAGTGTTTATCACGTCATTCTCCATAGAACATTTCTGGCTAATACATCACGCACTGTTCAGTAAACCAAACGTTTTTATATGCGACACTTCGCCGAGTCTGCACCTGTCAATGACGCCACGCAATATGGACTTTTAGATTTGCACAACGACAACGTGGATTGCTACTATCGACGTCCTTTTAATGCACTGCCTTGAATGGACGTCACACGTATCAGTCCACGCAAATCTAAAAGTCCCTAATCTCACTGAACTGAACTGAACCGAATGGCTGAATTGAAATAAATATTTTGGCATTCCCTTTGTACGTTACTCGCCCATGACGAATCAAAGAATGCGTCAGGCGTTGACGCAGACTCATGTAATAAATGTTAACTCGCGTCAGTCAGGTGCTAAGGTCATTAATGTGACATAAATTACTCTGAATGGAACGAGCCACTTTCGGTGATAAATTGCCGTTGTATTTACATCATCACCTTTGGACCTAAACAGTTTTGTTATTTATTTCATTTCATGTCCGACCATGTCTTCAGATCTGCAACATGACGCTCTTCTTATGTGCATGTTATAACCTTGTGAATCTTAACGCCACCCCTTTCAATAATTTTTATTCAATCTTCTTTTATATGAATAATTTCTCGTTCCCTCTTCTTCCAGGTGAGTTACATGATGTCTTTGGGCTTTACAGAGGAGAATGGTGCACAGGCCGTAGTCGCCCTCGGGGTATCCATGATAGTCGGTAAAGTCACATTGGCCCTTATATCGGACTATATCCCGTTCCATCAACTCTACCTCTCCACCTTGGCCAGTGGTCTCGGCATCACCGTCATGATCTGTCTCCTGCAGGCTCCAAGCCTCTTCGTTATCATGTGCATGATCGCCGGTAAGTATGGGGCCATTCCCCGGATAATAATTGTCCCAGCCCAGAACAATTACCACCACCAAGAACAATTACCCCTAGCATGATTAACCCTCGGACAATAATTACTCTCTGAAATAAGCTCCAGCCCCCCCCCCCCCCCCTCCGGGACAATTATTCCCAAGTCAAACGCTGCAATTAGGGGTCATGGCTGGGATGGATTTTCAGGAGGGAGCAGCGAGAACAATCATATCAAAACGTTGGAGCTTAATGGACCCTATTGGAATTGAAGAAATGAATCAGCCATGCTTTGTCCACACGATTATCCCTATCTCTGTGCAGCCGGTATCGTTCCACCACTGTACATTGTATCAAGTGCGTGGACCGTGACATACACTGTAGGCGACACATTTCTCAAACTAGACCATCTCACCAAAAACTTTCGCTCGGTAAAGATGTGATGGTCTTACATCTTGGAGACGCGGGGGGGGGGGCAACATTGACCAATCAAAACGCGTTTTATGGTTGGAAAGATAAAATTACATAGAAAAAAGAATTTCTTAACCTAAAAATTAGAAGAAGGCGGTATGCAAAATTGTGACATGGTAATGCAGCTCTGTTTGTTGCCCGACCCGTTGATTTTACACAGAAAAGGAGCTGAAAATAATAGTAAAAAAACGCAATAGTAAATCATAATTAAATAGTAATTTGTTTGCGTTACTAGATCGGTAGTGCCGTTAAAGTGATTCAAACCACGTACCTGTACCATGTGATCCGCAGTCATTTGACATTATCTACCAGACAGCGACACATCTACTGAGCACGACACCGATGAATCGCTATCTAATTAGACAACTGTTTCGTTTCATTCTTCTAGTACTTGGTTCGACCGTTTTCAGCATATCAGATGCTCTTCCTTACTTTAGTCCGAATCTCGTTTTTGGAGTAGCGAAAGGGCGGGAAACTTCAGCTGTCTTGGTCTTCATGCATGGACTAGGCATGATAATAGCTTCAGTCCTCGGTAAGTATTTTTTCCTGTAATCTCGTAATAGGTGTTCTTGTGTTATGCTTGGGTGCTGAGTACGGACCTCCAGCTAGCTCGGGAAAGCTTGTCGTAAACTCGTGGTAGGACTCGGAATGGCTCAGTATTGCTCCAAGGAACTCGGGCTGACTCGAGCATTTACAGCGTCCCTGCGAGTTGCCGCGAGTTGTGCCGAGCTTTCCTGACATTTTTCACAAGTACTCTTTGTGAAGTATGCAGAGCTGCTTCAGGGATTGGCTTGTCACGTGAATTGTGCTTAACTTTGGGAAAGTGTCTCAAATAAGTAGTTACGGCAGACAACCTTCACCCCACCCCTCAAAAAATTTAATTAGTGAGATTAATAATAAATAATCAAACATTGAGAATGAAAAGGAAGGTGAGGAGAATATCTGAAGAAAACTGGTTTCAGAAAGATGCAACAGATTTCGAACGTCTTGCCCTACATAACAACAACAACAGCAGATATTTATTTCTTTTCAAATCAAACATTATGGTCGAATCTCGACCAAGAAAGGAATCATTACAGACAATGAAGTTCGAATTGTTATTATCATTAGTATTTATAAAAAACGATATTGCAGACTTTACCATCTTCCTTCTTTTCCTGTAGGTGAAAGCTTGGATCAAACAGGATCGTACAATGTAGCGCTATACATGTGCATTGGGACATACGCCATCTGCGGCCTTTTGTGCATCATGGTACCTGTTTACCAACAATGCATGGTTACAGATCGTTATGTCATGAAATCATGGAAAGGATTCAACAGGAAGAAAAGAAGAGAAACTACATCGAATCCTGAGATCCTGGAGGATCTGTGATATAAGGATTAAAGTAGACATTGATTCAAAAGAAACTTGTATGTCACATGACAGCTCATGATATTTATTATCCATAAAATGAGTGAAATTAGGCCAGGCAGTAACTTGGATGTACAATATTTATCGTTTGAATCCAGTGAAGTTGATGAAATTCACCCATGCCTGCTAATTCACTTTAACAGGCGAGTCGGGCATAGTATATAGATGGAAAATACATCACGATCAGTGTTGCTGCAGCCATATAGTTAGCCTTTAGACAAGGCATCGTGTCTGACAATGATATCTGACACCGAGCGACTAAAAAGAGACTAATCACGAAAACCCGAGTGAACGCCAGAGTGGCGCACTTGATCGCGCGTTCCTCCCGGCTCTCTAGAGGATATCTATTTGTCGCCGGGTGTAAAAAAAGGCTACCATATAGTAGGCCTACACACCTTATTCCATGCCCATGGGGGCCTTGTTTTCTTCGTCTCTTAGTTTCGTGGTCTTCCGCCATGATGGAGAATATACAAATCAATTTAGGTGAATTTTAATTACTATTATTAATCTGTACATGAACAGCTGATCGAACGAACAAGGAAAACCCTTTGCGTGCATTTATACGCTCATTGATTTAATATGGCGACCACAGATGCAGCGACCATATCATAGAGTGTCCTTACAAAATGAAAGATTTAGGTACAAACGGAAAGAAAAACCGAACGCACAGAAGAACCAAATTGTTTACCCATTCTAATCGACCCAACTATACTATTATGCTCAACTATTGTAGTTTAACTATTTGAAATGAAGTTCGCCAAGTTATGCCAACTTACCACATTGCGGAAGGATTTTTTCCCAGAAAGCGCAACTGGATATCCGTTGTTCCTTTTGTATGGACTCATATCATTAGATGACACCATACTAGCAACTTCTATCGTTCTCTTCCGTTCACGCTTCGATCGCAGTTGGAAACCGGTGGAGAAAATGATATTTTTAGGAGTAATTTCCGTCTCTAAACAAATCTAAAATAGGTAATGTTTACAACGGAAAATGTTGTGAAATATTTTTCCAGAATCCTTCACTGACCAAGATATGAAACAAACCCTGAGAACTATGAAATGTTTGATTTGATGTGATTATGTTGCTCAGTTTAATTTAAGCACGAATGTTAACCGGCAATATTACTTGCATATTGTGTTAATCTTCATTGATATCTTTCATATGTATAATTTCTTTCATCAGTTTCATGTAATATGCAACATTAAACTTTCTTTCTTGTTTAGTTTATCTGTATTTAATACAGAGAACATACCGTGTAAAATAATCAAAGCATGCAACAAACTTATTCGGCAAAAGTCATATAGACTCCATGGAGTTGGGCACGAGCTTTTGTTTGTTTTCGGGACCAATCACCAATCGCCTACGTCATACTATTTTTATGGCGTTTTATTGGTGTCTTTTTGGCGAGGAAATGAACGATGAAAAATTCATGTTTTTGGGGTTGCTAAGAGTGATTAAGTATTCTAACAATCTGAAATATTTTGTTTTGAATTCATGAGGTCATAAGCTTTCCATTGATTTATATTTAAATTTTGGTTGAAGAAAAACAAAACATGTTAGAACTTGAAAAGTGGTCTTTTTGTTCACCGTAAATTATGCATAAGAATACGTCCGCTTATTTATATCTGAAGTGTAAGAAATATGCATACATGTCATGGCAATGATTATATTTATATGCTTGTAGCGGCTCTTACATTCGCCCTACTTGTACCGTACATTCATGTCTCCAGTATTCTACCGTGCCTATCACCTCTTGCATGGCACGTCAACTTTCTCTGCCGTCTCCAGCAGGCTGGCAGTCTTCCAGTGAAACAGTTTAAATCAAGACCCGACATGGCCCCTTGGTTCTCCGCTGGGAGCTGCCAGTATCTGCCAGCTTGGCTACACTTTGCAAGTGTACGTCAGCCTCATCAGTACCTAATAAACTTAACGAAAAGGGAATACTTTCTTTCATGTATTTTATTATCAGTGCAACCTTGCTTCCTCGTAGCTAAAATAAAAAAATAAGAGTTATGTTGTGTGACGAGTGAACACGCTTTCAAATATCCATTCACAATACCTCACACTCATATTTCTACATGCTTATATATATATATATATATATATATATATATATATATATATATACTTAAATGGTAGTACTAGTTATGATAACATACAAATATTGTAAGGGTCTCAGAGGTTTTTATCGTTTGTTTATATAAATTAATTTTAGATGACCAGTTCATTAACAATACAAATCTAACACTTACTTCACCTGCACACACCCACTTGCACACACCCACTTGCACACACTTGCACAATTTGTCTTAATTTCTTTCCTCTTTTTATTCAGATACTTTCTGAACAATTTTTTTATACGTGACACTCTATTCCCATTACATACTCTTATAACAGCGCCATGTACCCCCCCCCCCCCCCCTTTCCCGGCCGCTATCGACTCAAGCATTCTTGCTTATGATAGTTGGCCTCTGCATCTATCTTGATTATTTTTTACTTACCTCGATACTTTCAAGCTTTCAATTATGCATTTTCTATTTGTGTGTATTTAAGTTGTCACTCTTTATGTTAATCAATTATATTATTTACTATTATTGTTATGTGAATGTTTTATATTTGATTTATCAATAAATGCAGAAACATATGCTTAAAAAAAAATAGGTAATTGTGTTTGGGTACACTAGTTTTTATTCAACTTTTTCCATCGTACACTAGTCCTTTTAGTGTTGCGTATCAGTTTCATCACCGAATAAAATGAATAAATCTCCTGAAGTAGAAAGGAGAATTACGAAATAATGCAGTGCTCCTTATTTTAATGACTCAAAATATTATTATAATGAAATTTGTGTTAATAGCCCAGTACTGTGAGTCAATGCTAATTGTTTCTTCTCCATAAGAAATAGCATTTTTGTCGTATCAATGCAGCATGGATCATCAATAAATCAGGCTTGTCGAATGCAGATAGATATCACATTAAGCCCTGTTGAGAGATTATTCTTTAAGATTACCATTATTAATTTCAAAAACATCCCTTGGTATCGGCATACAGTACTGTGTATGCATTGATTTGATCATTTGCACAATGATTACAGTCAGTAGCCTAGAATATGATGATAAACATGGCACATTTTGCAATAGTGTCTTAGGCTCAAAGTTAACATTTTGATGCCTCTGATTGCCTCCTGCTCTAATTTTAAAGAGGCTCAATGATACGTGATTCAAACCAATGCTTAAACATATTGTTTGTATATAATGCAGTCCAATAATCATGGTCAGCACATTTTCACAATGTATTATATCTATGTAGCCAACAATATTACCATAAACGTGAAATCAAGATAACGGCATTATTTTTCAAAAATATGACAATTTTCCTAGAAATTTGATATATAAATTCAGTTATAGCACCAATAAAAATGGTTTCGTGTCCTACCAGCCTTAAAGGTAAAGACTAATTGTGGAAACGCCCCCCTCTCAAAAAATGAAATGGAAGCTCTTATTACCAATCATGTTAAAGATTATGTTTTGACAACTGCGAGATGACAAAAATTTTGCTAGGAAACCGCCTACTAATTGATATATTTAGTAAATTATCATATCTATCCGGACTGGATAGATATCGCGTAGTCCCATATACATCTTTCCGTGTACAGTGCTTGTAACTTTACCAAGACTGGGCCAAATTTCTTATAATTTTGATGATTCCAGAACCTTGCAGTACACACCAATACTTATATGCTAGATGATCAACCTTTTCTGATCGATTCCACAACGTTTCTTTCACAATGCAAACGCGTTACCAGTACTGATTTATACCTATTTATCAGGCCACCTTTCGTCCACTCCTGTTTCTTGGAATTTTGATTATTCACACAATTTCTTGTTTTTTGCTGCTTCGAAATCACTGAAGCGAAGATAGTAAACGGAGTCCCTATTCGGTGAAGGATCATTCTTTTCATCAAAGCCAAAAGTGCCTTTTAAACTCAATAATGTGGGCATCATCCCCATCGAATCTTATGTCCAGTATTAGTGGCGTGTTTTGGTACCAAGAATCCATGTACCAAGAATCCCTATTTTCAACAATTCTGTAAAACGATGATTTTCTAATTGAGTGTATGTAATGTGTGGATGGTTTGGGTGCATGCGTGGAGCCAGGTCATAATCTTTTCTCCTTTTCTGTCCTCTCTAACTACACCTGAAGCATTGTTTTGGGTGTGCACCTAATCATTCTACCACTTTCTTTTCTTCTTATTTATTTCCTTGTCTATCTCCTTATCTCTATCTCCTTAATTCCTCTATCTCTATTGTATACATACAGCTGACTTCACGCATGCCTGCACACACACATGCATACATGTAAATTGATATGTTATGCTCTGATCACAACTCTAGTTTTTTGCATGTCTTGTCATGTAAAGCAGAGTCATTTTCATGATAACCATTTTTCGAACAGTTGATGTCTTTTGCCATGCTTTTTTGATCAATTTTTTAATCAATTTTTTTAACCAATGTCAATATTTCAAATGTCAGTATTAAGTGCAATAATGTAACCTATAACAGTAAATGTCTTTCAACTCAACAAATCTGTATTTTTGAGAAGAACTGTCTTTTATGATAGTGTTTAAATGCCTTTCACTCTGTCCATAATGATGCGAAACAGTAATCTTTTAATCTTTTAATGGATGAACAACGTATCTTGAGTGCGTGCATGAATGTCAGCTGCTATGTTCTTTCTCCCTCCCTCTTTCCTCCTTTCACCTGAAACTTTGTTTTAGGTGTGCATCTCCCCCTTTTCTACCACTTGTTCTTATTTCTCCTCTCTTCTACACTGTATCTCTTTGTATACATGTACCTGACTTCGTGCACGCCCTCTTACATGTTTTTAGCATGTTATGGCCGCTGTCCCATGACACATGTATATGTATATGTAAACGTGAAATGGCTAAGGCTAGGTTCCTTATTTTCTAATTCACGCTGTTCAAACGAAAATAAATTATTTTCCATCGCGCTTTCACCCACCTGCTGAAGAAAACATATAAATTACTTTCCAAACACTTATAGGGGAGCACCGCTCATCTAGGACGGCTGCGGACGTCTCGTTTACTGGCACCAAGTAACACTACACCAGCGCTCAAAATACAGCACATTTTTTATTTTTCCCGAAAATTTGAGAATTTGACCGATCGATATGTCGTTCCGTTGGGGGGGGGGGGGGGGGGGTAAGGTCACCTTTTTTTTGTTACCCGTTAGCACAATTTTTTGTTCAATTAAAAAAAACAAAGGAGGGGGGGGGGGTCTTCCAAAACACACAAAAAATTGAGGGGGGGTCGTATTACCAATCATGTGAAAGAATATGTTTTGACTAATACGTGATCATACAAATTTTGCCGAGAAACCGCCTACTTATTTTTTTGTTTTCCTTTTTTTCTTTTTCTTCTTTTCTTCCTCTTTCTTCCTTCTCAATTCTTTTGCGCCGCCAGTGGGGGGGGGGGGGGATAATGCCTTCTCATTGGGATCATATACCTTTCCTTCTTGCCTTTGGTATCAATAGAAAATTGAAAAAAGGAAAATATAATACCAGGATATTATACATAGATAGATAGATAGATAATGTATTGGTCCATATTCACAACATAGAAAATTGGCCTCCACTGGCAGCAAATGAACAAAATACAAAGTAGTTACAAAATAATTGATAAACACTTAGGTGTATACGTCACATAATGTACATAAATTCACACGAAATCATGACATTAACAAAAAAATATATAAATTACATAGTAATAGGGAAAACTTAAGAAAGGAGTCGACATTTGAAGATTGAGAAGAGAGAAAAGGGTTGTATTAAAGGGGAGACTAGATTGAGGAGCAAAAATAGTAAGAAGAGAGAGAGGGAGAGGGGGACAGCTAGAGAGATATATATATAGAGAGAGAGAGAGGGGGGGAGGGAGAGAGAGAGAGAGAGAAAGATAGGAATGAAAGGTGGAGGAGGTGGAGGAGGTAAAGAAGAGAAGAGGATATAAAATAAATAGAGGGAGGGGAAAGAAAAGGAAAAGGAAGGGGGATGAGTTGTACACGACACATGTAGATAAATTGTTTACTGTCTATCTGAAAGGTAAGTTTCGCAACGTGTCTGCGTCGGATTCGCAGGTCCCCGCGAAGCGCGCGGACACGACTGACTCCACCCAACACCCGCCAGGAACAATCGTATCCCATCAGGCAGAATGCGAATAGGCCATTTTCGTAATATGTAACCAAATTTAATGCATAAGTCTTTGTGAAGTGCCTCAATACAAATTAGTTTGCTTGAGCTCACAAGAAACTGTGTATTTAGGCATGTATAAAAAATTCCTGCTCCATTGACCGAATAGAGTACGTTGGCCTTGGGGGCAACTTTAGGGCTGTACGTCGCCACCCTCACACCGGATAACCTTTTCGTGGTTGAATGATCTATTATTTGCGACGTGTTTTTATGATTTCGTCGGTACACGTAATGAAATTGAATCATAACTCTAATCTCACAACTGCTCCAACATTAACGGTTCATCACTCGTGAGCGTAGTAGGACGTATGGCCCTTCTGCATTTCAACAAATGAGCCAGCGAGAAAAAGGTAGGCATACAACATACTTTTCTGATTCATCTTTTTCGAATTCATCTTTTTCGGATTAATCTTTTCTGATTCGACTGATCAGGCCACTATAAAAATAAAAAGATTGTTTAACCATACCTGATGGCACTCCAGCAAAGCATAGATAGTCAATGCTAATGCGTATTGACCTCTAGCACTGCATGCTTGCTGTGAGGCGGGTATTATTATAAAAATTAACAAATTAATTATCAAATTAATTTTTTTGTCCACGGGGGCTCTTCCCCCGAAAAAAGAGCCCCCGTGAGCCTTGTCACGGGGGCTCTTTTATTACTGACGGGGGCTCTTTTTTATACAAATATCCATTGAATTGGTACCTATGATACTCCTCAATTATTTGCTATTTCATCATTATCATTTCAATCAGCATTTTCCCTCTTACAAATTTACAAGCTACATAGCTGTTACTGGCCTGTGTATATAATATATACGCAGGGCTCAAATTAATTTTTTGTCCACGGGGGCTCTTCCCCCGAAAAAAGAGCCCCCGTGAGCCTTCTCACGGGGGCTCTTTTATTACTGACGGGGGCTCTTTTTTATACAAATATCCATTGAATTGGTACCTATGATACTCCTCAATTATTTGCTATTTCATCATTATCATTTCAATCAGCATTTTCCCTCTTACAAATTTACAAGCTACATAGCTGTTACTGGCCTGTGTATATAATATATACGCAGGGCTCAAATTAATTTTTTGTCCACGGGGGCTCTTCCCCCGAAAAAAGAGCCCCCGTGAGCCTTCTCACGGGGGCTCTTTTATTACTGACGGGGGCTCTTTTTTATACAAATATCCATTGAATTGGTACCTATGATACTCCTCAATTATTTGCTATTTCATCATTATCATTTCAATCAGCATTTTCCCTCTTACAAATTTACAAGCTACATAGCTGTTACTGGCCTGTGTATATAATATATACGCATACAACACTGATCTTTATGATGTCTTAACGTGACATAGCTTCTTCTCCCTCTGCAAACAAAACAGAAAACAAGGTTATTTAATAAAAGGACCATGTGAAAAATAATCATTGTGATTCAAATTGATGCGAATATTTGTTTGAATAAGCACTGCTATTCACCCGAATCTTCTTTGTAAAAACAACTTTTACAAATCTCAGCCATGCTTACTGAGTTGAGACGTTCCATTCAATTTAAAATACCCATTACATAATACACTTCTCCTAATCTCAAAGTGATCTTACAGCACAGGGGCAAAATTGCATGGCTGAGATTTGTAAAAGTCGTTTTTACAAAGAAGATTCTGGTGAAAAGCATTGCTTATTCAAAAAAAATCCTTGCATCAATTTGAATCACAATGATTATTTTTCACATGGTCCTTTTATTAAATAACCTTGTTTTCTGTTTTGTTTGCAGAGGGAGAAGAAGCTATGTCACGTTAAGAAATCATAAAGATCAGTTGTATTATGCGTATATACATATGATACCAGAACAAAGGTCGATTATCAGAATGTCATTTTGGAATACCTCTATACAAATACCACATTGTCTTTAGCCCGTATCAGTATTAGTATGATCCAATATAAAGCTTTTATTCTTTATTTAATTCAGTATAATGCTTTTCCTCAAAAATAGTTTTGCTATTTTTTTAGGGTTGAGACGCTAAGAAATGGTTTCAAATGTACATTACACGAACCCTGAACCATTGCAAAATGATGGTGGTTCTCTCTCTCTCTCTCTCTCCCTCTCTTTATTTTAATCATGCATTATCAACTACATATAGAGCAGCAACCAAAAACTTAGGGTTATCTGAGATAGGTGAAAGTAAGAGTTTAAAAAAAGTCATGCTAAAACGGCGCTTCACTTCCCCCCGCCTTCTGAAAAAAAATAAAATAGATTAGTAGTCCTCCTCTCCAGAATCCCCCCCCCCCCCCCCGCTTTAATATCACATTTTCACTTGGCAGCCCAAGGGGGCCGGGGGGTGGGAGGAGGAAATTTGAAAAAGTGCAAAACAAATTGTATAGCATATACTGAATAATGACTGCAACACACTTTTAGGCTCTGGAAGGCCCAAGAGTGCAGCGTTTAGACTAATAAAATTGCAAAAAAAAATCTCGCTCGGTCGCTACGCTCCCTCGCATAACATCCTCGTAAAAAAAAATCGCATTTCGTCCCCCCGGTCATTAACAGAAATCGCCGCCCCTGATTTCACGACATTTTGGTCTTCCTCTTCTCCTCAAAGGGGACTTTTAGATTTGCGTGGACGTGGACGTGGATGTGTTACGTCCTTTTAAGGCACTAGCTGGCAATCACATGTGACATCCTTTTAAGCACTGGCAGTGCCTTAAGGAGGTCACACGTTGCAGTCCACGTTCTCATCGTGCAAATCTAAAAGTCCCTAATATTGATTTACTGGTCGAGGTTCATTATTTGCTGACAACGAAAAACTTCTCCAGGCCATGACCATGTTTCTGCCCTTGCCCGATCGCCTCCAGCTCCAGCAGACATGGCGCGGCAGCGTGCACACGCACCGCTACTAACGGCGCAGTAGGCCTATAACCACTGCTGACGGCGGCACTGCACTGCGAGCTGAATCGGTAATAATAGGCCTATAAAACGAGAAATCTTGCACACTAATCTTAGTTCCATTTCATTGGTTTGAGGTTTGAAAATTGAAACTCAATATTGTGTTAAAGTTATAACAGAAAAGATTATCTTTATTTTATAATTCCACAGGTGCGATTTTTAATTTTGCAATCGCCCCCGTGAGCAACCTGACGGGGGCGATTTTGTAGCTTACGGGGGCGAATCGCCCACCGCCCCCGTGTATTTTGAGCGCTGGATATGACCCCATTATGATAACTAAATTCTTATGTTTGTAGATACGCAGGATATAATGAACAACCAAGGATACCAAACTTTCAAATTAAAAATCCTCCAAAATGATAGCATGGACGTCATGTGTTCCCTCTTGAAACCAGAGCATGCCGCGGTGTATCCAGCTGAAAATACAATGGCGTCTTATTTTTTTTACAAGCGACGGATTCCTTTTTTTGTAATCCTTGCACTTTTCATCAAAATAATACCATGCACGGAGTTTAGAGTGAGGCAATAAATTAAACATTTCGCCTGAGGGTATTGAAGTAAGAGAAATAACTGAAGAAAAGATGACAAAACAGGCACTGAAATTGTGAGAGATGTCATGGGACATCGTCTGCCTGTGCACATCATGTTCAACATGTGACGTCATATCTCATCAGTGACCGGGGAGCTTTTCAGCTATGCCGGGGCTGTATCTAAGCGTTTTGTAGGGCAGGTCCAAGCTATCACGCAGCACACTAATTACATTAAAAATTAATTAAAGAGTTGGTCAGAACTAAAACTTTCCACAAATGAACTAGCCCATAATAGCCACAGACCCATACCAAAAGATAGCCATATAAATAATTTCATCTGTTGTTATTTTTTGTTCAAAGTCTCTGAATGTCCCGTACGTCACAATCCAAATAGCTTGGACCTGTCATGTAACAAAACATTGTCCTAGATACTAACGGCTTTCCATAATCATTAAGTCCAACTTAGAGATAAGTTCAACTTTGAGTTTGTGAAACACCCCTGGGCCTAATTCTTTATTAATATAAGATTCACTCTTATACGAATAGTGCATTGGGTTCTTAACGTGCAAAGGTAGTGACTCTTCTCTACACGGGGCCTCCATTTAACGTCCTTTCCGAGGGACGGAGTGTTTTCCACTAAACATAACCTGCGTCTCAGAGTTCAACTCTATGAACAATGGAAGGGGCACGTTAACACACAACGCAGGCTTCAGCCTTACACTAAAACAAGTAATAAGTACCTTTTTCCGCATATGACACAAAAGATTCTTTCTTTAAAGTACTTTCTTTAAATCATTTGAACAAAAATAAATATTTGTTTTAATATTTTCCTCCAATTTTGGAGCTATGATCCAATACGAAGTAAAGACTCTGATAACCATTTTCCATTAAAAATAATTATCTTTTAATCCGTTAACTGTAAGATACTGTTCATGGTTACTAAATCACGCACAAATAAAATATTTTATCGTATCCAATTTCTAAATAGCAACATTCTTCCATTATGTCTTATAATATCGTTAAACCATAACATTTCTTTACATTTCTCAATACAAGAAATAATCTGTTTATTTTGCTCTGACAATTTTTCTTTTTTTTAGAGGTAAAATAGACATACAATACTTCACGATAGAACTCTGGAATTTTGTTTTTCAAAGCTAAAACATATTTTAGATCACATTTACAGTTTTGTATAACCAAACTACCATCCAGTTTATCAAACCAATAATCAAACATCCATTTCCACTTTGATTTTGTTTCATCGAGGTATCTTGGTAACCATTTCAACTTTAAAATGTTTAAGTGTAACCGTAAATATAGCCATCTTAAATCATCAATCACATTTAATAAAGCCCTCTTTACTTTAGTAACTTTAAATCCCCAAAGAGAGTCCATCAACAATGTATCATTTTTTAACCAAATCAATAGGACAAAAGAATCTGAGTAGTGTATACAATCTTTGATAATATTAGTGTTTTTTAAATAATTATCTTGCCTTTAAATGTAAGACTTCTTTGTTTACAAATATTCAAGAATTTTTCGATTTCATCTATTTTATCTAGTGACCAATTCTACTCATGACTCAAAGATTCATTTTTTGAGAAGAGAATACCAAGAGCTTAAACGTAATTTTCAGTCCAGGTAATACCACAAATCTTGTGTAAAGGTTCCTCTCTGCTCCAAACACATTGCCTGTGTTTTATCCTTATTTAATTTTACACCTGAAAATTTTCAAAAATCTATAATATAATCTAAAACTCTCTTCCTGAAATAACATTTTCAACGAAAAGTGTCATACCATCAGCTAACTGGCCTAGTTTTAATTTCATTTGAATTTTCTCCAAGACAAATTCCTATAAAGCCCCACTGCAATACTTACAGCTACTTGCGCCCTCCATATAGCACACAATGCATAATCGGTGACCGTTAGTCCCCCATGGTCCCCTTTTTCTTATTAATTGTGAGCTGATTTGATGAGATAACCACCTGTCAATGACCTTACAGTGAGGTCTAATCCCTCCTGGCCAAACTAGTGCAGGTAGGGTTTAATATAATCATTACCCCCTTATCTAATTACTGAGTATTTCGATCGACCAAATAACAAAGAACAGAGAAATGAGGGACACCAATTCCCAATATCTACCTCGTTTCCTTTCTTATATCATAAGGTTATAATGCCAATACATCCTTTCTTGAAACCTGCATTTAGACTTTCCATTACCAGGTCCTGAAAGTCTTCCCCCAAATCACTGTAAATCTATATTTAATTCATCTCCCCCGGGGGTTTATTAAGTTTCATATTTGTCAATGCCTGAGTAATTTTTCAGATTTTGTTATTTTACCTTTACATAAGTCAGCCTCCTCTTTTTTCAACTTTGGTCCTTTTATATTTCGAAGATAATCCATAATCTTACCTTTGTTTTTATCTAATGAGCTATATAATTCCAAATAGAATGTATAAACATAGTTTATTATCCTACTCATATTATGTTCACTTTTCCTTCCTATGTTTATGTTTAATATATTTTTTTTTCCTCCTCTTCAAAGGCATTCATCAATTTTTCATATTTTCTTTCTACAATTATAATATCAGCCGTTTCCTTTCTTTTAAATTGTTTTGCAAAATATAAAGAATATTCCTTTTTTTTTAATAATTTTTTACACAACTCCAAAACGTATGATATATCTTTTTCATATTTCAACATTTATTTCACCACACAAAAAATATTTTTTGATTTGAAGAATTATATTTATCATTAAAGAGAAGTGAATTGTTAAACTTCCAGTACCCACTACCTCGAATGACATTATCAATAGCCATTGTAACAGAAACTGCACAATGATCGGGACATAAACCATCTGCAACAAGCCAAACGTCTATTACAGAAGTCATTTTAGGATATTTATTTCTATTCGTGAATTATTTCGTTTCGGGGTGCAATTTTCGCCATACTAATTTAAATGTTTTCACCATTTGATTATACTCTGATAACTTTTTATGAATAGATTTTGCTCCAAGAGTATCAAAATCTGGTTTATTTACACAGTTGTAGTCACCTCCAAATACTAATGCATACGCCTTCAAGTCACTTTGTGATTGAACCTCGTTGCTCAATCGTTGAAGAAGAAAAAAAAACGTGTCATGTTTCTTTTTTGTGGGGGCGTACACAAGTACCAGACATAATTGTCTGTCTCCAATACATGTAATAATCAATAGTATTTGTCTATCCTTAACTATACCGCTGAAATTGATACAAATATCTAAAAATTTCTTTACACAGTAACGAAACACCTTTTGCAATGGTTGTTTCTGAATGATTGAGTGAAAACACTGTCCCTTGCATTCTCTCTTAAGTTTTTCTTCCAGGTCCTGTGTAAGAAAAGTTTCTTGCAGAAGCAAAACATCGGCGTTTTTTCAGCCATCGAAATATTACGTTTCTTTTTCTATTATTCATTTTTCCCCGCACACTAAGTGACAAGAAAGTATTTTCTATTTGTATCATATAATCAGGGAGGTCACATGCCCTGATATAATCATTTGGTTTTCAGTTTTAGTTACTCGAACTATTTTTTATTTGAACCGGTAGTCGGTTGATTCATATCCATGAGTTCATACTGGAATTACTCTAGCGAGCCCTAGGGGGGGGGGGGTGCTTCACAAAGACCAAGATCGACTTTAAAGGTAATACAAAGTTTTGGGAATTTTGAAAATGGGTGGATAGTGATTCTTTACAATTTTGATATATTTGGATGCTCCTGAGGATGTATTAGAAGCACTGGAAAATTTAGCCCCTAAAACACTTCTGTTTTCGTGAAAAATTGAATATAAAAATTTACCGGTGCTCCCGGTAAATATTGATAGAATTTCGAATAGCGACTACGGCCGTACAATGGTAGTTGCGACTATGAAAATCTCATAATATGTAGCTGTGATAAATAATTTCCAAACGGGAATAGCTAATTGGTCGATTTTAGTCAAGAAACATTGTTTTATAGCTTAATAAATATCTTGGCCTTGAGAGGGAGCTATACAACCTAAAGAGTTTATTATCTAAAATTTCACAACTTTAGACTCGATTTCAACTGCGACAACGATCACTGAATATTGTAGGATCGCATATGCTTCCAATATGTTCATTTGAACCAAATTCATGACCCCATACCAAAACTTTGTATTACCTTTAAGTTGGACTTAACTATGACAGGCTATTCATGCCACTAGTTGCTCTCACTATCGGTCTCTCAATTATGATCTTAAGATAATATTTGTTCCTTCAATAATGAATTATCAAAAAATATAGATTTAAGACCTTTATTTATACGTCCCTTGAGAGACCAATGCCAGTGAATGATGAGAGCAAATAGTGGCATGAACAGCCTGCCATAGTTAAGTCAAACTTAAAGTCGATCTTAGTCTTTGTGAAACACTCCCCAGATCTATGCAAGCTTTTGTAGCTTCTTAAGGATGAAAATGAGTTCGTACTGGAATTACTCAAGCGAGCCCAGACCTTTGCAACCTTTGTAGCTTGTTAAAACTTGTTAAAAACCTCAGAGCAAATTTGCCATGGAAATTTAGCATTTTTTATTGAAAACAAGTTTTATCAAACAGGGCCCTGGACGGTGTTATTTTTTTCATAAAGCCGTTGTCACAACTGGCCGCTCACCACTCTGCGTCTTGTCTACAATAGATTTTGCAGAAATTCCCAGGCACGCTGAACACGCAAGAGCCTATAGGGAGGGTTTTACGAAATGTCCAATAATCTCACAGTTTTTATGACTCCACGTGACGCGCGCAGCCGTTGTACTTCTTTGCAAACCTCGCAAGGGCTTCTTGCGAACATCACACTCGGGCTACTTGCGAGGGTTCACGGAGCCGCGTGGCGCAGTACACAGCCATATGGAGCCGTCGCTCGGCATTCGCAAGGCACCTGCACGGGGATTGCGAACAGGGCGCCAAAAACAAGAAACGTCGTATAAAGAATCATCGTATAGCGAACAGGGCGTCCACACCACACACACACAAGAACAAGTAATCCGAAACGTCGTATAGGTGCGCAGTTTGTTACTGCGGTCATGAAACGGTCACGTTAATCCCCGCCTAGTTATAACGTTCTAGTTCGACCATACGTCCACACACAAAACATTCCATGATTCTCTATCGAGTTCTAGTTCGAAACGATGCCCAGACCCTAGTTTCATCATACGACGTTTCTTTATACATGTACGTCTGTTTATCTGTCTCCTTCTCATTCCCTCTCTCTTTCTCTCTCTCTCTCTCTCTCTCTCTCTGTATACACACACAATTTCATCGAACGGCTCTCCCGATACGGTATAGCTTTACCGTTTCGGGATAGCTATACGATGAATTTTGTGTGTCTGGACACGGGGTTAGGCACAAGCTCATCGCTTAAGCGCGTAACACACGAGGCGTCATTTAGGATTGCGTTAGGGTGCTGTTGGACGTGCAAAATGAGATCGAGTGACATCTCCTTTTTTGTCTTTCCATGTCCCCTACTCTCTTTCTCATATCATACCTTTGTCTGTCCGTCTGTCGTCTGTCTAAAAAAAAATCTCTCTAACTGTTGTTCTTCGGCCTTTCTCTCTGAACCAACCCCTCTCTCTTTCTCTCTCTCTCTCTCTCTCTATCTCTACCTCTCTTTCTCTCCGTCTGTTTATCTGTCTCCTTCTCTCTCTCTCTCTCTCTCTCTTTCTCTCTGTCTGTCTCTGTCTCTCTCTCTTTCTCTCTGTCTGTCTCTGTCTCTCTCTCTCCCTCTTTCGGTCAGTCTTTAACAGTTCAGAATGGATATGACGTCATCAAATCACTGGGATAAAATCCATGCAACTACTTCGGGCAAACTCAAGGGTCAGGCTCTTCAAACAGCATATAACAACTGGAGTCAGAAATACAACCAGGTAACAAATAGGCCGGTATTCAAATTATATCAACATTAATTTGGTTTCAACCCAAAAAAAAGTAGTCTACCTTCTCATTCCATAAAATGTATCATAATACGTGAACAAAATTCATTTCAACATGAAATTTTAATTTCATGACTGAATTTCGTTCATTCATTTGGGGTGACGTTAATACCATTTTTTCAGAAAAACAAACAAATTTACACTTGGCGCTCTATTATTAGCCACTGTACTAAGCTCAACTTGGCCTAGTCTACTATAATGAATAAGGAGCCCTATACTTTTATTAGTTATAATTAGAATATTACGGGACTTTCAAGAGGAATCCATTTCATGCGGCATTTCTGGTATTATTAATCCAAACTGATATAATAATAATAATAATAATAATAATAATAGCTCACATTTATAATGCGCCTAATACTTTGTTTCTAGGCGCGGAACATATTATAATACAGGCTAGTTATGAGAATGCTCACACATTACGGTCAAACCTGTTTATCAAGGTCTCTAAATCAAAACAAAAAGTGGCCTTTCTAGACAGGTTTCACAACACAAAATCTCTCTCGATGGAGATGAAATACATGGTCACTATACATAGGTCGTAATTATAGGGAGATGGCCACTAATACACATTTTACTATAGTGTTTATCTTCACTGAAAATTTTGTCAACAGGACTATGAAAAAGCGGCTTACAATGGACCAAAAATCGGAGCAATGAAGATGGCTGAGATTATCCATGACAAACATTGTCAGATCCTGGATGTAGGCTGCGGTACAGGGCAAGTGGGAGAACTGGTAAGAGCAATACCCGAGTCCCAACTAGTTGACCGAGAAAAACCGAATAGGAAATGACATTGCTCCGAACTTGGCCGAAAAGCCACGATTCTGTCAATCGGCGGTGGTTTGGATTAGAGTTTATTCAGGCAACTGTTGAACCGATTACGACTAAGCAAATAAGGAGAAAATGAGCGGGATAGTGAGAAATTAATAGAATAACGAAGGAACAGTCGATATATTAATCAATGGAATAATAGATGGATGAACTAATTAATTTGAAATAAACACTGGATATATATTTAGTAAGTGAATAAATGAATAAATAAATAAATATTTTCATTATTTGATTTCAGATGGCCAAGCATGGGTTTACCAACATCCATGGGGTGGATTTTTCCGAGAAGAGCATTGTAGTTGCCAGAGCAACCGGCTGTTATAGCAGTGTTCGTTATGCAGATTTATTGAATGGCGGCATACCCGACAAAGACAGTTAGTGTTTGTTTGTTTAAGAGTCTCTATTGTCGTACTACTACTACTACTGCTGCTGCTACTACTACTACTACTACAACTATACCATTACTACTACTACTACCACTACTACTAATACACTTCTACTACTATACTTCTACTACTAATAGTACTACACTTCTACTATTGCTGCTGCTACTACTACTGCTACTAATAGTAATAATAATAACCTATGTATGGCGCATTTCATCTTCAGAGAAAATATCAATGCGCTTTACAATAATAAAACAACAAAATGACAGATAACTTCTAATTCATGAACTGAAGAAATATCAAATTGAGAACAAAAATTAATCATAACACTTATCAACATCAATTACAGAGAAATGAAATCAAATTTGACAAAAAAGTAATTATGTAGCTTTAATTATAATGAAATACAATGATGCAGTTTAAATGAAATAAAAAAGAATTTTTGAATAAATATTGCTGATACAACTTTTGCTACTACTACCGTAATACTGCTACTTCTACTCTAGCCTTTTGACAAAGCCTCATGACTCTGGCTATTTTCCACCCCAATCAGCGGCTGAGATGATTCTAGAGACCCGGGGTGAACGCGCGTTAGAGTGGCTTCAGCCGCGAGGCCTTTTGTATTCTGGATTTACTTGCTCTGCATGAATTATTCATGACTTTGGATTTAATGACCAATCAGAATGGCCATCTCCCAGTTGATTTCGTTCGTGATTCATTCATTATCAAAACATTATCAAAACATGTAAGAAAAGGTAAAAGACGTAAATTAGTTTTGCTTATGAGATGAAAATATAAATGATTGAAACAAAATATCACATCCAAATCTACTTTACATGCAAAATTACTACAAAATAGGAAGCATTTGATGACTTGAGCTATTGTAAGAGATAATTAGACTTTCCCTGTATATAAAAATGAACCAGTCCAACTCGTTTCGTTCAATGTTATAGGTATTCATACTACGTAGAGTTTACTGTGAACGGGATGAATAACATATATGCCGACGTCACGCGATGATACGTTCGGTGATTGGACGCTACCATTTCGGTAAGAGAATTCCAGTCGTAAACAATGATTAACATAAGAAATCTCAACCAGATTACTAAAGGCTCTTTGACTGGGCCACTCGCTCTGGCGTTCACTTGGGTTTTCGCGATTAGTCTTTTTTTAGTCGCTCGTCGTCTATCTGACATGAGGCCTTGTCTAAAGGCTACTACTCTTCCTACTCAGTGGCGTACGCAGGATTTTTTCAAGGAGGGTGTTTGACAATTTGTAAATCGCGCCGACCGATATTTCGCTCAGTGTGGGGGGGGGGGTAGTGAGAGGGACACACTTTTTTTTTTTAGCCCCCGCAAATGTGAAAATCGAGCCGTCCAATATTTCGGGGGGGTAGGAGTATTCATTTTTTTTTCAAAAAAATTGAGGGGGTTAACCCCAAAACATCCCCCCCCCCTGCGCACGCGCCTGCTCCTATATACTACTGCTACTGCTACTACTACTGCTGCTGCTACTACTGCTGCTACTACTACTGCTGCTTCTATTATACAACTAATGCTGCTGCTACTCATACGATTTACCGTCCTTTTTAACATTTTCCATTCAATTTCATCTCTGTGCACTTCAGTTTCGTCCTAGGAATCCGGGATCGTGCTAATGTCAAACTTAATTTAGTCATTTGTCATTCAAATTAGTCAATGGTCGATCAATATAAACACTTCTCCATTCATTTTCGTCTGATTTCATTGGAATTCGTCTCACTTGGCGGTCCGCGGTAGAATTTAAATCAAATTCGTTTTTGAGCCATCAATTTGAAGAGGGTTTCATTCAAATTCGTCGCATAGACAAGACCTTTAAACGAACAAGTGACGGATTTCAATAGTGCTTAATCGAAATGGATTGCAAAATTACGAAATTGATTCATGCAATAGTGCGTTGGCAGCCGAGGATGACGAGCTTGATTTGACTTTAACGAAATTGGATGTAAAATGATGAAAGTGATTGACAATATCGTTCGAAAATGAATGACAAATGTCGAAATGGACTATGAGATGTGCAAGAAAAGGAAGATTCAGGACGAAATTGAATGAAACACGTATGAACTTGAATTTTAAAAAAGTGTTAAAATGGACGGGAAAACCTATACTACTACTGCTACTACCACTACTACCACTAATCATGATTATGACGATAAGGATGATGATTATCATTATGATAATTATAATAATTATAGTAATGATGATAATAATTATAATACCATTAATAATGATAAAAATATTAATGATAATAATAATGATAACAGTAATAATAACAATAACATTTAATGACAATAATGATGATGATTATAATAAAATTGACTAGCTTTTTCTTTATTGATATATGGTTTTTCTGTCACAAGTAATGTCAGTCGTCAGGTTCCTTCTTTTTAGTGATATACAATCTCTTAGGTGTGGAAATGTCTATCCAAACTTTCGTTGGGTTACATTTACACAACGATTTATTATTGAAATACAACTTGTCTTATGTAAGTGGTCCGTTTAAGGCGATATGTGAACTTCCTATTCGAATTTCAGATGAATATGATGCGTTGGTAACAGTGGGAACATTCGTACCGGGTCATCTGAATACACCATGCTTTCAAGAGTTCACCCGAGTCGTTAAACCAGGTAAACCATTTAATCAACTTGAATATGATGCTAGTTATTTGCGTAGATGTGAAGGGGGTAGGGGCACGTACCCCAATTGAATGTCAAACAAATGATAAAGTGACAGGAGCATAAAGCAAGGAGATAGAACGTGAAGAACTGGAGAGGGACGAGAAAGGAAGAGACGTTATTAGGCCCCCTTCCCCGAATTGACCTGTTTGCTAATATTATTCATACTTTTTAACAAGATTTGGTAACCGAGTGTTCGGGAGAGAAACATGCATACATTGAAATTCAAAGTAAACAGGATTATTGCTGTCCCTGTTTATTCACATATGATTTACCAAGAGACCGGTGCCCCCCCCCCCCCAAAAAAAAAAAAAATAATAAATAAAAAATAAATAAAAATAAAAAAATAAAATAAAATAAAAAATAAATAAATAAATAAATAAATAAATAATAAATATAAATAAAAAAAATAATAATAATAATGCAAGTGCCACTTCAATTGTTGACCCCCGCTTCGCCACTAGATATTACTCTAAAAGGATGATGATGATGATGATGATGATTTGGTTTGATTGTACTGGTCCCTCATGTTATATTAGTCTTGCGGTACACACATCTTTTCTTACAACTTGTCCTCATATAATTATGTTACAATACTGAAAAGACGGTCTAACAAAATGCAAATGAATTCGAGGGAAATAGGCATAAAATCCTTTACTTTGTTATCTGCCGACGCATTTTTAAATGGTTGCTTTCCAACAAATAATGGCATCATAATTTGCTCGTATGCTTGTGTTTATTCTAATATTGCTTTCCGATATCTTTACTCTTCAATGTTAGTCATTTTATGAGTCATGTTATTTGATTTTCATTTGAAGAGTGTAGTAGTATTGTAACTGTGTTACCCTTAGTGACTTGCCATTCAGCAGGGGCGGAAAGAGCACAAGTAAAACTGCAATACTCAATGAAGTGGGCGAATTCTTAATGTTGTGTATTAAACTATGAAAATTAGGATCCAGTCTCTCCCTAAATCCGTCACTGGAATACCCTCCTGGAGAAGGAAGTCATTCTTTTCTTTTAATAGAGTTGTTTTTTTATTTTTTTATTTGTCGTCAATTTGATATGTTTTTTAAAAGTGTTTTTGTCTTTATATTTGGCAGGCGGTCTGATTGTGATAGTAATGCGAGAAGCATACTTATTTGATTCACCAGAGTTTAACCAGCTCGACTCGGCCGTAGTAAAGTTGAGTAAGAACGGAACATGGAGGTATCTCAAAAGAGAATGGGTCCCCAACTACATTGGTGATTTGCCTGGGATAATTTTCGTTTTACAAACTCCTGAAATTTAAGGTCCGGTATAGGCCTACATCGATATCACCTCCTTTAAATCACAAGAACTCCACGACTCTCCATAAATCAACGGAGGGGAAATTCAGTGATGTACTGTAACTATAACATCATAAAACACATTCATTATTATCATTCTCTTCCACCGTTGACAAATTATTTTATTTCGCAATAATGGTTTGGTCTCATCACAGAGACTCCATGCCGTACTCTAAAGAGATAGTAATGTCGCCCTCTACACTGTTAGAACAAGTATTAACATTCAAGTTGGTTAAAATTTTAATCAACCACGGATTACCATTATGAATCACACAGCCTGTTGATTAATGTTTAAACTGTAGTTGATTAAAAAAATAATCGTTTATTGGTTTAAAAAATGTGCTCAATGTTGGTTAAAATGGTGTTGATTAAACTGTAACCCTTTGTTGATTAAAACTTTAACCTTTTGTTGGTTAATTATGCTTTGTTCGGGGCTGATTGGTTAAACTTACATGGGTCGTTGGTTAAAATTGTAACCATTGTAGGTTAATTCTGCTTTGATTCCCACGTTGTTGGTTAAACTTTAGTGGGTTGTTGGTTACAGTTTTAACCACTGTTGGTTAAACTTACGGGGGTTTGGAGGTCTTATCCTCGTGTTCGCAGGTAATAAATTGTTTTAATATGATTATCATCAATGCTAAGATTGTAAGGAAGAAGTGAAATAAGGTTCTTGCTCAAATTAAAAACGTTTTGTGTCCCGGGCCCGTAGGTTGTAGCCCAACCAGTATTCAGTAAGTATAACGGACGACCTACCCAAATTGCATGCATATTAAAGACGCTTCACTTCATGATGACATTTTATTTTGTATTTAATTGTTTTAAACAATTAGATACAATTAGATTTAAAAAAACAATATAGTCATTATTCATGCATGCAATTTGGGTAGGTGATCCGTAATACACTTCTCCTTCTTTGGGTCTGCCTCCTTCACAGTGTTGACGATTCTTGCAGACTGATGAGTGTGTATGTGCTTACGAGAGCCAGGTGCATGGTGCAATGCTCACATAATGGTGCAAGTAAAAAGTTACTTACTGGTTGAGCTACGTACAGCCTAACGGGACACAAATCGTTTTTGATTTGAGCAAGAACCTTATTTCACTTCTTCCTTACAATCTTAGAATTGATGATGATAATATCAAAATAATTTCTTACCTGTAAACACGGAGATAAGACCATCCAAACCCCCATTCCCTCAGCGTCCTCGCGACAACCTCCATTGTATTTGTTGATTTTGTTGCACGCGTACAGCGTATACTTTGCATGTACTTGTATGAAGTGTCGAGCGATCGCTAGCTACGCGCTTCGATATCGTTCCGTTGGGTCACCTGACCAGTACTTTAATCAACATTGATTAAACTTTAACCGGAAGGAGGCTATCATTACTGTCGGAATTTTGTTTTAATCCATGCTGGGTTACAATGTTTGCCAACAACTTAGACTTAACCAACATAGTTTAAAAGGTATAGTTTTGATCAGGGACGTGATAGAGAAGGACTGGAATCAAGCCGCTCTCCTTTGACCCCATGCTCCAAGCCGCCGAAAAGTTGTGCGCTAATCTGCAACTGCTGACCAGGTGGTGAGATAAAAGAGCGCATAAATTTTAGGATTTAGAATTCCTACATCAGAAAATGGTATCACAGCAACTGTTCGCTGTCCCTTTCAATGATTTCTCATCCATTGTTGAATGTGTAGAGAGTAGAATAAGCGAACACAAACTTGTGTAATTTCATCCTTTTTTTTTTTAACTTCAAAAATACAAAAAACACGCAAAAACACGCATTAGCAAACTTAATGTTATTGAAGATTGTGAATCATGGATCAAATAACGGGACTTTAAAGCATGCACAAATTAGCGCATTATCCTAAACTATTGAGTTTTTGTCAGGATGTAATTTTTCTTTTACCAACTCTGGCACACAAATTATAGGAAGGACGGAGTTCTAAATTTGGAAATGTGTTTGATGCACTATTCCCAATACAATCCCTATATAAAGTTTTTGATTTACACTAAAATTTTGCCAGTAATTTAATATTTTATAATAAATGTAAAACTGGTGCCTGGCTTCCGAAAGTCCCCGCAGTGGAAGCGCGGTTCGGAGCATGGAAGTTCAAAGCCAAGTGGAATGTTACACATCCCATTGTTACGCTTTAGAACTCACGAATGCGTTGAATAAATTACAAAGTTTTCGCCGGCTTGATTCCAGTCCTTCTCTATCACGTCCCTGTTTTGATCAACACTGTTTTTAACCAACGCAAGATTAAAAGTAAATTTTAATCAACACTACATTTTTAACCATGGTTGAGCGTTTTTAATCAACAATTTTTTAACCCGCAGTTTGTTAATACTTGTTTTAACAGTGTATCGGCATCGTTTAGAATAATGACGACCCCCCCCCCTTGCTTTCTTACGTCATATCGAAGAGATCGGCTGACGAGTTCTTGTTTTAAATTCAAGTAACTTTTTAGTAACACGAGAGGCCCCTGGTGACAATAAAGTTGAATAAAGCAAAGTTTGCTGTTTCATAAACTCCCTTCATTTGATCCTTGTTTTCTTGATAAATGATTAAGAACGGAACCTTTACGTATCTGAAAAGACTGTTGGTCCCCAATTACCTAGATATGCCTTGGATATTTTTTTGTTTTTCCAAACTCCTGAAATTTAAGGCCCAGTACAGGCCTCTATCGCCTTTTTAAAATCACAATAACTCAACGGCTCTCGAGAACTCAATGGAGGGGGAATTCAGTAATGTATTGTAATTATGCCTTATGATATCATTCTTTTCCACCTTAAGCAAATTATTTTATTTCGCATTAATGGTTTGGTCTCATCATAGAGACTCCTCGGGGTACTCTAATGAAATAGTAATGTCGCCCTCTATCTACATCGTTTTGTATAATGACGCCCCTTGCTTTCTTACGTATATTAAAGGATTCGTATATGTTTAGGAGCTCTTGTTTGAAATTGAATTAACTTGTTAAATTACACGAGAGCCCCTGATGACAATAAAGTTGAATAAACCACCAAATTTCCTTCATGTCTGCTGTTTCATTATTAAGTGCCTTCATTCGATTCTTGTTTTCTTTATAAATGATTACTATAATGGATGTTGGAAAGCGACTTTGATTTAAAAGTATGCCTAATCAGTGAGGTGACTCACGCCCCGTCCCTGGCCTAATATAAATTCATCCTTTACATCAAACTACTCTCACTGGAGGAAAGCAGAAAAATCAGAGAAGTGTAGTCTAGTGAAAGTATGAATGAAATCGGACAAAAATGAGAAATGTATTAATTCTCGAAAGTCGTAACTACTATAGGTTTTTGGGCTCTCCAAATTGGCTGAATCGGTAATGTCTCTGCGATGTAGTGGTAGACAACTTTCCCATTTGTTCAAACACAAACTAACTGAAATTTCAATTTTTCAAAAATTCATGACTCAGGAGGATCTTTTCTCTTTAGAGGACTTATAATAATAATTATGCTATCGATAATATATTTTGAGTGGTGCCCCAAGGGAGGAGGCATTAAGGAGAAACATAGAAAATACACGACAAACGGGAAATTTATCCAAATATAAAACTGCCAATTTGAGATTCGCATAGACTTAGGGATTTTATATTTCAAACATTCATACTTTTCTTATTATTGGTCCAATTTATGTATATTTCTCTTACATGTCTGCTTATATACAAATTAACCTAATAACCTAGTAATATAAATATCTATTATACATGGAATGATCACGTTAATAACTCGTATGAAATATGATAAATATTAACATAACTCATTAATTATGATAAATATTATCATTATCAGAAATATTTTTGATGCCGCATTTGTGTCACTGGCAGGTCAGGGGGGGGGGGCATTTTTTATTTTATTTTTTTAAGGTAAAATTTACGTTACTATCCTATTTTTTACCGGTTTGGGAGGCTAGGGGGGCGGGCCGATAGAATCGGCCCGTGGATCCGCGCCTGTCCAAAATAGCACACACAAAATCTCGGTGAAGAAAAAAGGTTCCTCCCAATATTGAGGAGGAAATAATGAGCAGAACGGGAAGAAATCGAGAGAATGTCATCACGGGATAAAAGTCAGTAACAGCTATGTAGCTTGTAAATTTGTAAGAGGGAAAATGCTGATTAAAATCATAGGTACCAATTCAATGAATATTTGTATAAAAAAGAGCCCCCGTGAGAAGGCTCCTTACCCCCCCCCCCCCCCCCCCCCCCTGCTTATTTGCCGACTGGCTGATTCGGTGATAAATATTTTCTCACGAATTGGGCCCCCTATTTTTGACCCCCTCTCTTTCCGCCAGCTGAATCCGCCCCCCCCCCCCCCCCACCCCCCTCGCCTGGATCCGACACTCACTATGAACATGACAGACAATGAAAGCGGACAAAATATACAGTTCCTCAGGTAAACAAAGGAACATCCCTTCACTGCTATTATGTAAAAATGTGTAGAACAGGTGTCACATGCATAATCACCTGTTCTACACATTTTTACATAATAGCAGTGAAGGGATGTTCCTTTGTCTACCTGAGGAACTGTATATTTTGTCCGCCTTTATTGTCTGTCATGTTCATAGTGACTGTGAAAGACTTGCACACATGCACTATGCCCTACAATTATACAGAAACCACATACACTCGATTTGAAGCCAGCATTTCATGCATGGCATACAAAACACAAAGAAGGGCTTATCCAAGGCCTCCCTGTGTATTAAAGCGGAACTCATAATGACAAAAGACGAACATTCTATTGAATGTAATTTGGGGTTTGTTATGCTTTTAAATCACGAATATTTCAGTCTCGTGTGTAGTCGTACTACAAGATGTACAGACGAGGACGCAATTGCACTCTTATTGTGGTTTTCTGTTGGTGGTAGCTATACATTTCCGTATATGGACCAAAAGAAAGTGAGTATGAAGATATCTACAAGGGTAAATTTATTGTCTGTTTTACCAGCATTTTCTTCAACATGATATATAGATTGCATTTACCTCGAATTGTCAAAAACGGTAGTGTAAGGAACTTAGCCGATCAAGGACCTCCGAAGTTTCATAGGTCTTCGTCTGGACGATTTGCAGGTTATAGGTGGACGAGTTCCTTTTGTTCGCTACACTCTCTTTTTCAGTATGGCATTACTGCTATTAGATAAATAAAATCTTCACATGTTCGAAATAGTCTTAGGAATCAGCCAAGTCGCATTAGTAAACATTTAAACTGTATTTAAAGTAGCCGCGTGGTTTTGTTTGGGCCGATCCTTAAGTTTTGTAAAATAAATCTTTAGTATATGACTACTGTTTCGAATACCTTTGTTGTTTTTTCGAAAGACTTACAGGCCTGTGTCCCACAAGTTTTCGACCTTAACTTTTGACTTCTTAGAAAAGTATCTTATGACAATGATTTTAGAATTAATATCTGCATGGGAATGGATTTTATGGCCCGTATTCTGAAGTCGTGTCTAACTCCTGTTTAAATAAACACCACTTGTCTAAGTCCTGTCTAAGTCCCGTCTAACTTTAGTCACGAAGTCGTGTCCAACTGTTTACGTATTCTGAAGTCGTGTTTAAATAAAGTTAAACACGAAGTCCTGTCTAAGTCCTGTTTAACTTTAGACAACTGCGAGGGGTTGTTTAAGTCCTGTTAAAGGGCGCGATTCTGCTGCTTTTCAACGTATACTGTACACTCTACTTGCTGACCCCGAACTTGCGGGGGATAACGATGGTACGCATTATGTACCATAACACACAAATATTCTGCACTTCTTTGGGAAACTTCTCGGCCATTTGTGAAAAATAAAACAATTCACTTACTTTTCACTCGTCGCCAAAAATACGTTCGGTGCCTGGGCGGTCGCCGCCCGGGCACCGACCTAATCGAGCGTTCGCCGTCGAGCGATTTAGGTCAAAAATCGAAGCTGCGAGGTCAAAGGCTGCAGATCGATTTTTACCTCGCCGCCCAGTGACCGACTGATCTCCCAGCGACGACAAGCCAGCCACTGGGCGGCAACCGCTCGGCAGCCTTTGACCTAGCGGCTTCGATTTTTGACCTAAATCGCTCGACGGCGAACGCTATATTAGGTCGGTGCCCGGGCGGCGACCGCCCAGGCACCGAACGTATTTTTGGCGACAAGTGAAAAGTGAGCAGGCGCCGCCAAATTTTAACTCCGCCCTAAAACTTCAGCGGCGACCGAGCGATGCCCTAAAAACCAGGCGCGGATCCAGGATTTCTTAGGGGAGGGGGCCCTTTTTTTTTTTTTTTTTGCTCCCGAAAATTTGAAAATCGTGCCGGCCAAAAATTCGCTCAGTGGGGGGGAGGGGGGGGGGGGGGGGGGGGGGGGGTAGTGAGCACATTTTTTTTTTTTTTGATCGTCAAAAAAAATTTCAATTTGCACCCCCCCCCCCCCCCCTTGAGCGCCAGGGGGGGTCCAACCCCCCAAAAGGTAAAAATCATGTGATTTTACATGATTTTTTTTCTTAAGGGGGGGGCCCGGCCCCCGGGCCCCCCCCCCCCCCCCCCCTGGATCCGCCACTGCTAAAAACAAGCGTCGCCCGCTGGCCGCCTCTCGGTGCCCGGGCAAAATTGGCTAAAAACTCACCACCCGACTGCTGAGCAGGCTACTTTTTGGTATGTAACCATAAACCATAGCTTTAAAGCGCGTACACACATAATTTCATAGTATGGCTATCCCGAAATGTTATAGCTATATCGTTTCGTGATAGCTTTACGATGAATTTTGTGTGTGTGGACATGGGGTTAGGCTCAAGCTCCTCGCTTGCCAAGCACGTTGCGCACGAAGCGTCATTTAGGATTGCGTTAGGGTGCTGTTGGACGTGCAAAATGAGATCGAATGACATTTCCTTTTTTTCCATGTCCCCTACTCTCTCTCTCTCATATTATACTTGTCTGTCCGTCTGAGGTCTGTCTATCTTTATAAATGTCGTTCTTCGGCCTTTCCCTCTGAACCCCCCCCCCCCCCAAATCATCTTTCTCTCTCTCTCTCTCTCTCTCACTCTCTTTCTCTCTCTTTTTATACTCCCCCCCCCCCCATCTGTCTCTCTCTCTCCCCTCTCTCTCTCTCTCTCCCTCTTTCAGTCAATATATAACAGTTCAGAATGGATATGACTTCATCAAATCAATTGGATGCAATTACTTCGGGCAAAATCAAGGGTCAGGCTCTCCAAACAACATACGACGACTGGAGTCAGAAATACAATCAGGTAACAGAGAGGCCAGTATTCAAATTATATCAACTTTTATTTCGTTTGAACCAAAAAAAGTAGTCTTTTCATTCATTAAAATTATTATAATACGTGAACAAAATCCATTTCAACGTGAAATTTAAATTTCATGACTGGATTCATTTTGTTCATTTATTTCGGGTGAATTTAATAACTTTTTTTCAGAACAAACTTACATTTGGCGCTCTATTATTAACCACTGGACTAAGCTCAACTTGGCCTAGTCTACTCTAATGAATAAGGAGCCTTATACTGTTATTAGTTATAATTAGAATATGACGGGACTTTCACGAGGAATCCATTTCATGTGGCATGTCTAGTATTATTATTCCAAACTGACATAATACAGGCTAATTATGAGAATGCTCACACATTACGGTCAAACTTGTCTATCAAGGTCTCCAAAGCGAAACATAAAAGTGGCCTTTCTAGACAGGTTTTACACCACAAATTCTCTCTCGATGGAGATGAAATACATGGTCACTATACATAGGTCGTAACTATAGGGAGGGGGGCCACTAATACAGGTTTTACTATAGTTTTAATCTTCACTGAAATTAACCTTTTCTTTAATTCTTTAACAGGACGTTGCCAAATCGGCTTACAATGGACCAGAAATCTTAGCGATGAAGATGGCCGAGATCATCCGGGACAAAGATTGTCGGATCCTGGATGTAGGCTGCGGTACAGGGCAAGTGGGAGAACTGGTAAGAGTAGTATAGGGACTTTTAGATTTGCGTGGACTGATACGGGTGACGTCCATTCACGGCAGTGCATTAAAAGGACGTCGATCGTAGCATAGACCTATTGTCTTGGTGCGAATCTAAAAGTCCCTAATAATACCCAAGCACCACCTATAGGTCGACATCAGACCAAGAAAAACCGAACAGGAAATTACATTGCTCCAAACTTTGCCGAAAAGCCACGATTCTGTCGATCGGTGGTGGTTTGGAGTTGGGTTTTTTCCGGCAACTGTAGAACCCAGTAGCGTACGCAGGATTTTTTCAAGGGGGGGGGGGGGGGTTAACATTTTTTTAAAAGGCCGAAAATTTCGCAACGACTCAGCCAGCCGCTGAATAAGCTGGGGGGGGGGGGGGGGGGGTAAGAGCATTTTTTTTTTTGGGGGGGGACGGATCTCGGAATTTGAAAATATGACCGATCGACATTTCGTTCCGTTGGGGGGCGGAAGTCACCTTTTTTACCGTTAGCATGATTTTTTTTTTTAAACAAAAAAAACACAAAGGGGGGGTTCCTCCAACATAAACACATACAAAAAAGGAAGGGGGTTTAACCCCCCCCCCCCCCCCGCTGCTAACGCGCCTGGTAGAACCGATTACGACTAAGCAAATAGGGAGAAAATGAGTGGGATAGTGAGAAACTAATAGAATAATGAAGGAACAGTCGATATATTGATCAATGAAATAATAGACGGATGAATTGATTAATTAATT